GAAATCAGATCAACTCGTTCGCTTTGGCATAAATGCTTCAAAATGTGTGACAAGACTTTCAGTGGCTATATTCTAAGTGACAAAGTTATACCCACCCCAAGATTGCGCGGAGTCGTTGCCTGGTGGCCACTGGCTGAAGCACACATAGCGCGGATTGCTCCTTGCGTCGGCTGCTAGCCACATAAGCAAGCATGTGCGCATATGACATGCTTGTCCTGAAAGAGCGGTTCGTCCTGCCCTGTTAGCGCAAGAGTAACTGTTTGTACGTTTGCCTAGCACTGTCTACAGAATCATTTGGCATTGCTCAGCTGTATATGTACTGCAATAAGATCAAGTGCAAGTGCTGTGCATCGTCGTCATGGTCTCTGTTTGCCCGGATCATGACAGTGTAGGTGCCGCTTTTTAGCTGAAGCACATCAGAAAGTGCACAAAGCGTCATCCCAAACATGAGGAATATTAAATATTGTGTGAACGCAGCGTTTTAGTGACTCGGGGATAAACGAAGTTTTGCATAGTCGTTATGTGTCTAATTGTGGTGCTGCTGTTTATCGATTATGCAACGAGCTTTAGTTGTGCGTGATAAAACCTTTTATTGTATGGTCCCCGTCTCACGACATTGCTGTCTAGTAAATTTCGACGCTTCGGTATTTAAATTGTCCCTTAAAGGGAACAGAAAAATGGAATGACATGGATGAGATTAAATTTGAGTTGCCTTGCACAATTTTCACATTGGGCGAAATTCATACAGACACAACCCTATTCTTAGGTTTAGGTTTGCTTAAAAAAACCCAGATTGCCAAAATTCATTCGGACGGGGCACCTAACATATGACGTACGATTTTACGCAGAAAGCCACATTTTTTTTTGCATCATTTTGAGCACTTTCGTGGCATTGTGATGACTGACGGAAGGAGCGGACTCATATTGACTTGGAAAAAAAAAACCTGTCTCATCAAATATTCCAACCTCTGTTATATCGCTGTGATGCAAATAATCAATCCAAGAAAGCAGCGGGCTGAATTGTTACCTTTTTATACTGTTAGAGAATCAAAAACAAGCGCGTTCAATCGCTGTCAATCACTTAGCTCTCCTGAATAAACGTATCAACTGTTCTACCTTAATTTCATGAACTGAAGAAGACTAAAATGCGGATGCGTAATCACGGTATTCTAGGGCCTGTCGCCAAGTAGTATCGAATTTTTTTCTTGCTTTTTTTTTCTTTTTTGAGATCCAAGACCAGCGTCTATGAAGAATGAATTCAGTCACGCTACGTCAACACTTAAAATAATAATACAAGAACAGCGACCCAGTGCGATAGCACAGACAGTCAGTCGTTAAGCACAAACTAATGGTACATTGCGCATTGCGCTTCTGTCTCAAGCAATAATAACGTTTGGCTAGCTTCGTGCATCCATTCAGCAAGGGACAGCATATATGTTACGAGTAGGCAGCAGTCAATGCATTTTATTTGTTGACAGTCGGATCGCGCCGCTCAAAAAACGCACCGCCGCTACATTTGCGTGCGCGACGCCGTCCGCCTATCCACACCAGTGCGGTGACGGTGCTGCCCCCTATAGCTTGATCTCGGGGCGAATATCAGTGCATGGGATGCGATGACAGACTTCTAGACAAACGATCTACCGATCTAGCTTTACTTAACATTTTTTTCTTTCTGTGCAACTTTAATGATGTGTCCTCGATTGATGAATAGAATACTCAGTTCGTAAAATCACTGAGCTTATCAATGTTGACTTTATCAGTGTTTATGCAACAAGTCAAATGCAGACACGTTACCAGACATGCACACGAAGGCCTCCTCTGGTTGGGGCACATTTTGCAGCCTCACACACTATTTGAGAGTGCTTTCATTTACGATGTAAAGGCAGCTATCATCAATTCTTTATTTATTTTTGCACATAGTGTGTTGCATATGGCTCGGAACTATAAACAGCACGCCATGCGTTGCACCCATTCATTTTCTGGAAAAACAACTGAGGGATTATCGCAAGTACCCAATGATACAAGTTGAGATGTTATCTTGTCTAGCTTATCTGAAACTCTTATGGGCACACACTGCGTGCTGTAACACAAACACATTTCGGTCACATTTTATGAAGTAAGTATATATACCAGGCGGATGCTGATAGGCCAAATATATAGCAATTTTATCACCCAATAGTGCTGGAAGCTATGAGAATGCATTTTTAGTACAAGATCGTTCGTAATAAGAATATCGAGTTTTTATGCCCCAAATAATCTGCAAGATAATTACGAGACATCGTAGTGGAGGGCTCCAGTAATTTCAACCACCTGGTGTTCTTCAACGGTCACTGACATCACGCAGTTAAGGGCCTCCACCGTTTCGCCTCCATTACAATGTGACCGCCGCGGCTGGGCTCGAACGTGGACCTTCCGGTCAGCAGCCGAGCACTGTAGTCACGGTTCCACCAAGGCGGACAGTAAAAAATCATCGATGCTAATATTTGAAGCATAGAACGCGTCTAATTTGAAGAAAATGACAACACCCATTAAAAGAAAGAGTTGCAAAAGTCGTAGGCCGCCAACCCTGCTATAATCGACTTCGAGTTCTCTATAGCTTGCATTTACTTTTTAAAAAATGTGGCAAAGAGTGATTTTTTTTTCACGAAGGCTGCAATGTCTTTCGTTTCACTAGGTGAAACCCAGTGAGATGCGTTGCAACAAAAGTATCTTCTTATTGCGCTTGCTGTACTTTCCACTTCTAAGAGCTACTTATTTATTCTGGTCCTGCGGCAGGAAAGCAGAAGCTATTATATCATGCTTTTTATGCGCGTTTGCAACAAAACGCTGCCACTACTGTTTTTTTTTTTTTTTAGGCTCTGGTACTGGAGAATCTCAGCTTAGCGAGTGTGATGTGAAGAAAGTTTATTTTAAATAAGCCCGTTTCGTACTTCTGTGCCAACGAACCACGCTTGTGGAATTTATTGTCGCGGCGGCTAGACTTACTCTTTACAATTTTGGTTGAGTCTTGTTTGTTAATGAAACAAACGACACACACCAGTTGAGTGGGATGCGAGAAGCACTTATGGAGGACTCACCCGACATGGCAACCAAAGTAAATCTGAAAGATTATTTTGTGGTAGCCAGTTTGAAATAGCGAACCAATAGTCTTGTTGTAGCTATGCCTTGAAGGCTTAACGGCATCCACTCATTTGTTCTTGTAAACGTTGATGAATATGTATCTATTGTTTATGTTTTTGTTTCCTTATACGCTTCATTTGCCAGAATGGAACAACGTGCAGTCATGATCACTATGAAGAGGATGCCCACCTAATTCCTCTAAAGGAGTGATTACTCATGATGTATGGATATGAACAGTGATGTACTAATTCACGAGAGGTAGATCATCACTTGAAAATTTAGTGTTACGGACACATTTGAGCGTGCCAACTGCATTCATACTCGGCGACAGCTTGTCTTCACAATGGAGCGAAAGCTACTGCAGGCGAGGCTTCCACGAAAATTATGAACTGGGAAAAGCATTCCGATTGTTCAGGGTACAATTTAGTGTCTTGTTACGAGTTAATTTCTTCTAAAGAAGTAAACAGCTCGATTGCAGTCGCACACTGACGTCACGCATGCCATGTTTCCACTGAAAAAGGGGTGTACTGAAAAGGTTGTGCTGTCTTAGAAATGCAAATAAAAGGAAAGCATTCTTACAAGGTGAACATTAACTATACTTTACCAACTTCCTCCAACTCTTTCAGTCTCATAATATATACAGCAGTATTTATTTCAGTAAGGTACATGAGAAAATTATTGCTCAACTTGAGCACTATTTTTCTGGCATGGTAGCGTGCATGCACTTTAGTTCTGTAAAAACCACAGTGCTGTCTAGAAAAGTTGTTGCTGAGTGTAGCTACTATGGCACCCTGAATGTAGTTTTAGTGTTCCCTTTCATATTGATCATGACTGTACAGTTGAACCTCGCTGAAAGCTTATGGCTAGTGATCAAATACCTCTCAGAACAATTTTAAGTGTTTTTCTTACTTATCTAATGCACATTTGTGCACTCTTTGCACATAGACTAAGTGCAGCCAAAGGCTTTGTTTATGTATAATATCCTTGCATTTGCTTTGTTCTATTGACATTCTTGCTTATATATTTGTTTTAAAGAACACCTTTATGTTCTATATTTGTGTAAATATTTTTGGTCAAATGTGACCCTAGAACCTCACTTTTGTTTTCTTTCTTTAAACGGCAGCTGTGGCATATGTCGACATTAAGACATGTGTCACATCTTTTACAGGTACACCACAATGCTCACGTGTGACATTGTTTTTTTTTTGTGTCAGTTAAGTGTTTTTCTACTAGTGAAATTGCACAAACACTTTTAAGAGATCATCAGTTATGCGCATTTACTTTGTTGTATAGCGTGGTGGTTATTGTTGTCCTCAAAGTAGCAACAGGAGACCAAACACTGTATTGTTACGGAGTAAACACATTTCTAAACGTAACAGTATCATTAGATTTGGGAGATATGGTAATGCCAGTATATTATTTACTAATGTATTGAATGATGCAAGTTGGACTTGTGTTGCAGCTACACCGTGAAGTAATAAATTTGCACAGCAATGTCATGCTACTGTGTTCGTGATTTGTAACACCACACTGTGAAGCGAATCCACCGCAGCATTTACAGGAATTGAATTAAAAAAAAAAAAAGTGTGCCACGTTACATCATAAGTTAAAAGGTTTTACTTAAAGTTGCTAAGACTTTGGAAGTTCTCCTCAGCAGGCCATGGCATTCAAGATTACTCTTTTGCATAAATATATCAGTGGTAACTGCGTTTGTGGCACGTGGTTAATGCTGAATTCTGAATCTTAACAGTCACCACCCGGCAGCACAAAAAAGTTGAAAATCTGCAATTCGGGGTACTGTTTACGACTCGGCATTCCAGGTTGTGTCAACAAGAACACTGTGTTCGTGCTTGTTAGTAGAACAATGCAGGCAAGCAACATAAAAACGTATAAAAATTTATTTGTTCCACTGCTGAAAAGTGGCCATCCGGCAAGCAAGCTGCCACGAAACATTGGTCACACGCTGCATACAAAGAATCGACACAGTTTGATTCATCACACACAATAAACATATATAATGTAGAGCAAACTTTCCACGCCTGAAATGATGCACAGCTGTTACGATTATAAAAGTAATAGAGAGATCAATGGATGCAATAGAAGAGGTGCCTCTGATCAGACAAAAAATTTATTCAAGACTGGACGATTATTTCAATTGGAATCATGCTATTATAAATGACCTTGTTTTGAATAACATTACTATGCGTTTGCACCACACATGCATTGCACCGTTTCAAACATGCTGCACACTTTACACGCAGGTGTTTCCACGAGTGTGACCTTAAATTGTATGCCAAACGCTACGTCAGTGAATTAAATGACAATTAGAAAAGGAACGCTCCAGACAAGTACTGCCCGACACCATACTTGACACACTTTTAAAATAAAGTGTTGCATGTGTACGTCTTGCACAGACAAACTGCTTCATGTAATAAAATTTCAAAGTTTTTTGACAGTTCATTAAAAATTAGACAAGGGTTTCTGTGCAAAGATTCTTCAACACAAAGTCTCGCTACTTTTACAAGTTTGGGATGAGTCATCCAACTAGTGGGCCAGCCTTAGAACGGGCTAATTTATCAACCATATAAACTTACGCGATCTCTACGGAAATAATACAATGCCATGCCATTTGGTCCCAAAAGAAAGGTTCTGCAGTCAAACTGTCCTTCTTTCTTTTTTTTTTTTTGTATAGCTAAAAACAATGACAGATTCGAGACAAATGTCTGCACATAACTTTTCTTTAAGGCATTGGGCAACTATCATCAACATTTTTTATCAACCTCTGCTATCCCCGTACAAGTAGTTATGGCATTTGACATTGGGGTAATGTTTTATGCTTCTTCTCTTCTGAACGAAAGTGTACAGCAAGAATAACAATATATTCAACATATGTAAAGTGCAACAATTTTCATAATCTGTATGCAAAAATATCGATATATACGTTTACGGATTCTTTAGACCTCTCTAAACCAGACCATTGGGCATTGAAGAGATTGGGAATGTCAACGTTGAAACAGTCACGATCCAGCCATTCTTTGGTAACAGTGAACTTGGCATAAACTATCATTAATCGCACTCAAACTAAGCAATTAAATGCATTCCCAACACGCATAAAATGGCATTTTTATCATCACAAACATACAAACTTTCAGATTTCAATAACTTGAGCATGTCATGCAATCAATGAGACAATGTCCCAAATCCATTCAACATAAACACTAGGCAAGAGTTACTCTAATTAAATAGTCCACACGCAATGCGTACATGTGCGGTGCTATCACCGGGGTTAAAGTGAATGTATAAGTATAAAAGAGTACAAGACTAGCAGATTAAAACCAGAGTCAAACAAGAGTATATAACAAAATAACTTAGTATATGCAATAATGGTCAGTGCTGTTAAGAAATAACCAAACACATGACAATCCTTACGAAGTTAGTAAACGCATCTCAGTGCTGTTACAAGTTTCACTGGTTAGTCTTGATGTGGTACCATGTTTTTTTCGACCGTTCACTTGAAATTTAACAAAAGCTCGGGGACCTCAAAGTTATATAAAGAAATAGTGCTGATGCTCAGGGTGCTTTGAATGATTTAGTATAAGAGCTCAGCTACAAGCACTCCCAGTTTCACTTCCATAGGTTCGCCTGCATATGACATGATGACAGGCTGTGATCATATGTTAAGAATGTCATGTGACATGTTGATGGTCGCTCTATCGTGTGCCACACTGCTACATCGGTATTGACCATGAGCATCAGCACTGGAGATCATAAAATGAGCCAAAGCAGGCATCAAATAAATTATAGTGTCCAGCTACCAGGCATCGACCTCTTGAATTATGGCACCACAGTACTGAAGTATGCAAGGGGGAAAAGAAAATGAGACTGGCTAAACGAAAGTTGTTATTCAAGATGCTCTCGAGTGTTGCAGTATTGGCTTATTTTAGGTCCCGGACATTTCTGCAGCATCAGAGAAAAGAAAAGTAATATCTCCCGTGTCAACACTTTTTTCGACATTGCATGCACAAACAGGAATACGACCATTTGCACAGTATAACAAGCAAACATAAGCGCGGCTCTACAGGAAGGACCGCTGGTTATGTGCAACCTAAAGAAGTCGAGCTGCATTGGCTTAGCCCATGCAACGAGCGCCGAGTGTTAGCAGTTGTGAAGTTCTCTTAAACACACATTTGAGTAATATAGCATTCAAAGTCAGTAAACATCGCATGACTGCATCGGCGAAGTGCACACACAGAGGCTTTTTTTTTTTTACAAGACAGCGATCGGTCTGGGACGGCGATAAATTCAGTGTCTTCGTCCGGAGAGCAAGCCAGTGGCCTCTGGCGTTAGAAGGCCCAAGAATTCTTTGAAAGAAAAAAATAAGTTTAGAAAATAGAATGAGAGTCAGAAAGGGTACTTATTAACTCAGACAGACTAGCTTCAGTACCATACACAAGTGAAATAGACACGCTAATTTGGCAACAGGGAACACAACTTGCCTTCTGTAGCCGAACAGTGTCTCAACTTTTCAGACAGCAGACACACTTTTCAAAGATACTTGAACTTAGGCAAGTATTGCGTAGCTATGTGCAATGTTTTATTCCATTCGGGTGTCGTCAGACTCATCACCATTGCTCACAGCTAGCTGATGCTATCGATAGCGCGAGTGGAATACTGTTACCGTTGGCCCAGAACAGAGAGAAGCACCAGAAAAGGCAGCGTTAATAAATATATTGGTTCTAGAGCCACCCACACTGCCCTCAATCATTATTACTGACACATACATCACAACACTTTCGAGTGTTTTCTTGACGCCTTGGAGCGAGCGTTCGGTCGTGTATAGTTGGAGGACACCGATTCTGACTTTAAAAAGTGAGCATAACTATCAATAATAACATGTGTCACTCACCTTGGTTGATAAGTCCATAATTAAAATTCTTGAAGACATGAAGCAATTCAATGTGGAGATACACCCTCATGAGAATGCAGAAGCCACCTAAAGAAGCAAAATTGTGCCATCAGGTCGACACACTATGATGAAAGAAATGCCTTCGCTCCCATTCCTTGCGTTTCCCTCGTTTTTACTTCGTTGTTATTGTACATCCAGTGCAGGAGGGAAATCGGAGACTTCATTACATCAGCTATGACTACGGCCATTTTAAATCGTGTGGCACTGTACGGTTTTACTTGAACAAACGTGTGCAGTCACTTAATTTCTGAAAACCACGTTAAGTTAATGTTGTCAGATCAAGAAAGCAAAATGGTTGTTGAGATATGTGCTTTCTTCTGCTGCCATCTCTCGTCGAAGTTTCATGCGAAAAATAAAAAAATTTTCAGTCTAAAAAAAAAATTGTTATTGGTTGTCAAGTTTTTTTTTTTTTTTTGTGAGTGAGGAGCTATTTTTTTTGTGGTCCCATAAAATATTTAATGACGGGGTTCCACTTTATACGAGAAGTGCTTCTGGCATGGCCGATCTGGCAGCTGAGTGGAACGTTCTTCATACAGGTTGTATAAGGAGTACCGACATAAAATTTAGTGGCAAGATAACTTCTGGGATAGAATAGTATCAGCAGATGCATCATCGATGAAATATCAACGGTTAAGATATCCTAAGACATCAGCTCACGACACTGACACCAACCTCGTATTATCACAAACAACCAATGGCTACGTGCATCACGAGTTGGTGTTGCTGCCATAATCCTTGCAAGCACTCTGCCTTTGTGGACCTTTTCCACAAAAAAAGAGGGGGCACCTCCTTTATGGGCTTGCAAGGTAGTACTGTCGGACGCAAAAGTTTGAGAGATCTGCAGCACGTGGTGAAGCCACGAGAAGTTGCATTGCTGGGTCACCTAGTGTGATGCGGCGCGCTTCGAGGCTACTAGCTGCAGCGTCGTCGATTAGACAATGCGCCCCTGCGTGATCTCATTGCATAGGCCATGACTGATATCCTCAACACCTAGGCGCATCATAGTAGATGTATCAGCAACGCAGTGTTTCATCGCTCCACCATGCACTGCATACCCCGCAAGCTTTTGCGGCCGAGAGTACAAAGACTAACATCCATGCCTCTATGGAGCATTTTTTTGGGGGGAGGGGGGGGGGCGCTAGGTGTCGCACATATTTAGAACATCTCTCCCAAAGGGAATTACAGCAGGAGCAGTGCTCATCCACACAACGCATACTAAGAGGTGAAATCAAGAAAGAAACCGCCAGGCCTCCTTCTAACACGCAGCGCAGTGACAGCAAAAACCAGAAGAGCGGCCTTTCGGAGCCTTTTCTAAATTGATTGGTTAGTTGATTGGTTGGACCCAAGAGGAATGGCTCAACCTACCACAGCAGATCAGCCATGAATTGTGCGGCAGCGGGATTTTGGGGGAAAAAGAGGGGAAGGGGATTGCCTAAAAATATTTTTCTTTTATAGAAAAACAAAAAAATTAGTTGTGCCAAGAGTCTATTATGAATTGTCATAGAAAAAAAATAATAAAATTATAGTAAAGAATATATGAAAAAGACTAATGACAATATAAGTAATGAGTATGTACTTGTGATATTAGCATGGTAGCCGTTTTGACTCTTTTATATAGCTATATATTGCTCTATATATGTCCCTGTTGCAAATGACCCAGTGATAAAGCCCCTAGGGAGAGAAATACCGTTTCTAAACACTGTTTGGGTAACTGCTGCAAGCACACTTGATGGGTACCCACTACACCATAAATCATAATTTTTGTGTAGTAGGCCTGCATTCACTACGCTATCCTTCGTCATTCTTCGGAGAAACGTGGTATCTACATGCAAGTAATTGCGTTTAAATATTTTTATGCAGTGGCTGACGACAATAAAGAACTATGCCTGAAGCAAGTTACAAGCTTTTGTAATGGGATTGGAGCAAGGATGGCCCACTCGTTATGTAACTCACATTGTGTGATGCCTGCTTGTACCTTTGCTGTTCTAAAACACTTTATTACACATACAAACGCGATTCCTTTCCCGAAACCGAGCCTGCCTAAGGAAAGTTTGCAATGGAGTTTCAAGCACCAGCGTGGCTCTGCGGAGGAATACTGGGCTGGCACGCAGGGGACCCGAGTTCAAATCCCACTGTGTCCTTGATGTTTTTATTTACTAAGCTTCTTTTCTTATTTAGTGCAATAGTGGTTACAGACACTGGCGGCGGCAGTGGACAACTACGGCGCTGCATGTGGCCCTAGTTGTGATCTCGTAAGAGCTCTCAGAGTAATTCATAATTGAAAAACCGAAAGACAACTGCCTCATGGCCACAATTTGCACGTCTGCTGTTGCAGACGGCTAGCTATAGCAAGAATGTTGCTGTTGTACCATGCGCCAGACATGCTCTCTAAACAGCATGCTAGCCATAGCATGCACACGGTCCGAGAATGTTGCTGTTGTACCACATGCCAGACATGCTCTCTGATCAGCATACGCATGAAAAACACATCCACGACCTTCCTGAATATACGTGCTCGAGAAATTGCATGTAAATATGCACATATGCCAGAACGTACCTGCAACAACGTGAACGATAGGTGCGTCGGCGATCTGAATGCTTCTGTTTGGAAACCTGGCGGTGATCTGAAATAGAGGGATAAGAAAGTCTGCACACAATGCAGCATACCACTGCCAACAACTTGAACGTTAGTGCCGATTACTGGTGTGAAGAAAGAACAAAGCAGATGCATGCACAAACAAAATTCATGCTCAGATAAAAACTATCTCTCTCCACCAGTTCTTTGCAATACTAGTGGCAACAGTAAAGGGCCCGTAAACAGGGCCCGGCGTTTTTTCTTTTTTTCGCACCCCCGAAACAAGCTTGCCAGTTCGTACGGTAGACCACGGTGGTGATCACATTTTCCAAATGATACAGCGCTGCGCATTCTGCAGACCCTCCATTTTGAAAAACAATTCCTGTGCCTGACCGATTCCTCTCATACGTGCAGTGATACGAATGTGCCCATACGTAACTTGATGTACCACTGAGCTCGCTGATTGGTCCTCTGCCCTACAGAACAGCGTGTTGGCCCTGCAGCGGTGCACAACACTTTCAGCCGCAGAGTCCGCATTTTCATTTTCCTGTGCTGCCTTCTGCTGTTTCGTAGAGCCCAAGACTTCTGGGAGAAGCGGTATCGCCGGTACGGAAGTCTCTAAGATAAAAGAGGCGTCTCACTACTTTAATCCTCGGTGAAGGGTGCTTCTCGCATAGGGCTTTCTCCCCACATCTCTATGACATGCGGTCACGTGGGGGAATCCCTGCTCAGTCATTGGCTGAACGCGGACGACGTTCACATTGCCGAAGTGGGTGGAGTCATGACGATGTGCAATGCCTTCCCCTTCCTATGGCAGAGAACAGTGACAAGGCCGCGCAAAAATTTGAAGCCAGTTGAAATGGATGTTCTAACCTCTGCAACTTTCTTATTATAGCATGTTTTTGCAAAATTCTTGTTTAAGCATGTTCACATGGCAAAAGTGCACAAACTTCTGTTTATTACAATTTTTGTACCGTGGGCTTGTTTACTGGCCATGTGTTAGAAGAGCATTCTTGCATTTTCATTTTTTCCTGAAAATTATCTAAAAAGTCATTATTTGACATTCTTCCACTTGAAAATACCGTATTTACTCACGTAATCCTCGCACTCGCACAATTCTCGCACCCCCCACATCGCCCAACAAAAATACGATTTATTTTTTTCCTCGAGTAATTATCGCACCCCCAAAACTGCTGCAATAATGTCGTCTGCTCTTTCCAACCACTGATGATGATAGCGCACGTCATCTGGTGCCATCTCTTAAGCATCAAGCGTACTATTGCACAGAGATTCAATCCAACTCAAGCGAAGCCGAAGTGGCCAGTGCGCATTGCGGCGTGTTTTGTATGTTGCGTCGGTAACCTTGTCAAGTTATGAGGCGATACTGAATCTGTACGGCTGCTTTTAAGTTGCAAGTGATAGGTAATGCACTAATAAAGAACCGCAACAGGGCCGCCGGTAGGCCCTTGGGATTGATGGTAAATATTATTTCTTAAGAAGGAAACTGCGGACAATTCTGTTAAATAGCCATCAGCCCAATACTGACGTCCCACGCTTACCTTTTGAGGGCTTCTGTTGAGCGACGAACGCTACCGCTACGCCCGCAACGTCCGCAAGCTTTACGTATGGTGTTCTAATTCTCGACTATTTGCTTCCACTTTTTGTGTCTCAATTTAATCTTGTCTTGTGTTGAACCTCTGCTTTTATTGTTGAGGTAAGTTTTAATTAGTACTTCTTAAAGCTTGCTGTTAGTTGTTGGTGTGAGAATCCCGATTCGCGGCCACTTCATTTTCTTTTTGCTCTGTACGTTTTCGCAGAAAGTTTTCCCCGCATGATTCTCGCACCCCTCAACTTTTCATCGGTTTTCCGGCAAAAAAAAGTGCGAGGATTATGCGAGTAAGTACGGTATATCTTTCAAATTGTGAAGTCACCAAAGCAATTTATTTTATTACTAAGAGCAGAAGCCCACTGAGTATTAAATAAGAAGTAATTATGAGTGGTGAAACCTAAATGTTGCTACTCGCACTTACCAACAGTTGAAGTACTGACTGGAAGAAAGATATGACGAGACGTTTAACACTAAATGTTTGTGTCACTGTCTGCCTGAAAATGGCTATTATGCAGTCACTTGTGGTAGGTAACAAGATACCTAAGATCTGTTAGGCACTGTACAGCGAAAACTGCTCAATATTTTGTCATCAGACTGCAGTACAGTTGTTGAATTTCCTGCGCCAATCGCACAAGAAGAAAAAGAAAAACTGAAGACGAAGACAAGAAGCCATCTTGACGTTCTGGGTTCATGCGGACGCTAATAAACGTCTGTCTGAGTTCTCAAGTCCATGTCGGCTGTTTCGTTGGCCACATATTTTACAGTAAAAATTTGTTAATTCAAACTCAAAGGGGACTATGAAATTGTTCGAATAAAGCGGAGTTTGACGTTGTGGGCGAGCACTAGAATGAACAGACAGCACGCCACATTGCATGGCCAGAATCTAAAGAAGCCATCTCTGGACTCAGTATCAGGAACTTCGCGTAACTACACATTCACAGCAAGAGATTCGTAAATTAAGTTCATGGAACAGAATCAATTGGTCGGCCAGTTATCAGCCAACAGCAAGCTTGTGCATGCAAACTTCTCGTGTTTGGCCTCCCTCATAGTACAACAACATCCGCAAGCCTTTTAATGTTCACTCAAGCATTTCAATGCTCACGCAAGAAATTATCGCTCCATGTTACACCTAGAACACCATCACTCACCTCTAATACAAGAAATAGTGGTGCTATCATGCTGAGTGCCACATATGTGTAGACCAGCGTTGGACGTTCTTTCCTGACCTGTTGTAGAGAAGAAAGAAAGGCATTGGACTGAATTATGAGGCTTGATAGTTCTAGGTTTCAATGCAGCAAGGGAGATGCCAGCGAACAAAACACCTTGCTTATTGACTCAAGCTATGAACATTTAGTTGCTGTGAGCATTTAGTTGCTGAAGCAGACTCTGCAAGAGCACATACCAGTGTATGTGCTTATGTATACACTACCGCAGTGTGCTTCAGCAAAATAAGTGGCAGAAGTTCGTAGCTTGAGCAGTGAACGCGGAAAGGCAGCTCTGCTCGCTGGCATCTGAGTCTTGCAACCTCTGCCTCCTGTGTTGCTAAAGCACACTGTGGTAGTGTATGCATTAGCACATGCACATGTATGTGCATGTGCTCATGCACATACCTTTGTATGTGCTGTTACTTGGGAGTGCACGCCTTGCCATTTCTCGCGAGTGACGACACTCTGAATTTATTATGGTCCAATAGGTCGCGCTTTTGTCCTAGCCCTAAGCGGCCTGCTCCCACACTGGGACCGAAAGACCAAGCCTTTTGGCCACTTTGTGGATCCTTTCAACTGCCTATAACTGTTCCTCAAATGATGGACAGAGGAATTAACTGTTTTTCTTCGCATCCACCCTTAAAGTGAAACTCTTTGTATAGAATGTCTGAGGTACTGTTAATGAACAAATAAAAAAGGCTCATGCAGCTGCTAAAACAAGGCAGTACAAAATACTTCTTTTAGCGTGGCTGTTGTATGACCAAACAATGAATGAATGAATTACTAGTAAATCAACAAACTATTCAATTACTACCAAATTCCTAAAAAGTCATTTGATCAAAGAAATTCCTGATCACAAAATGGACACAATCAGCAAAGCAATTAATAGCTATATCTGCATATAAAACCACTAAAACAGTATTTCTTTGTAGAGGCATCTTAGACTGCCAATATATAATTGTAGGAATAACAAAACATATTTAAATGTTCACTCCACTGATTTTTTTTTCTGTAAGCTTAACAAATGCATCACTTTAGCACTGATTCATAAAAATACCCTTATTCTGAAAAGAGGAAGAGCAGGTTCTCAGTGGACATAGGCAGACTGATCAGGCTTGATCACTTCATGCAACAATATTGACAGCAAACAGCAACAACCAGAGGAGCAACGATGAGAAATGCCAACAGCAAATGGTGACAATTACAACAAGAAAAATGGTCAGAAATGGCTGTAGTATTCATCCGCAAAGCTTGAAAAAAACACTTACGCCCAGAGACCCAATGAACCACAGGGCAATACCGTATAGAAGAATGATCACCAGAGTCGTGAATTGCCACACAGTACTATTAACACCAGCATTCAGCACCAGGATCCCAAATATGACCTGCATCAAATGAAAATCAAACAAGTGCGCTTGTTTCTAGTGGCATAACAACATTGAAAACTTCAGAAATTTTATGCGCCAAAACCACATAAGCGTTAGTTTAAATGCTTGCCATGGCCAGGAGTAACCGTGTATTTTTTTAACTTCACAGTGCTGCACTGCAGCTGCTACGCTGCTACAGTAGGTACTTAAAAATTATTTCACTACTAAAGATGGAGATTTAATTAAAAAATCACACACTTTCTTACGTAGGGATGCCATGTACAGGCTCTCAACAATAACCTGACGACTAGCTAAATGACCTCTACTACAGAAGTTGACTTTTCAAGTAGTTTCGGCTCCCGTAATCACATGCTGAATCTGTGCTGCAGGTGCTATGTTTGGATAATCACAAGTTCGAGAAATGACGCTCTGCAAGTTCAACAGGCGGTTAGTCCTAGGTTCATCACAGCAAGTGAAAACAGGCTAAAGACTAGGGCATTTATAAGGGAATTGTGAGAGCTCGAAAGTGTGTACGAGGCTACTTACGTACGACACGAACTCCAGCTTCAGCATGGCAAGAAACTTGCAGAATGTTTTGTACATCGCTGGTGAGAAAAAAGTAAAAAAAAACTTTTAAGTATTTGCGTAATTAAGCAATGCCTCGGATTATGATAACGACAATCAACAGCTGATGCAAGTTTAGTATTGTTAGGATTTTGTACAGCTGAAGCGCCGTTATATGCAGAGGTGACAACTTGCAAACAAAACAAAAATTATGTAAATCCAACACACACTTTGAAGTTTGCAAGCAATCAATACCTAAACATCATATACCTAAATCATAATGTAAATAAATGTGCTAATTGTTATTGAACGTAATGTATGGTATGATGCAGTGTAATGAACTTTTGTAGTGAGCATAGTCTGAGTCCCTCACTTTCAGGTTTGACTGTACTGTTCAGACTCAGCTGTAATGTTCTATTTTGAATTCACTCAACTGTACTGCACTGCTCGAGCTTTGGTCTAGTGTTCTGACTCTACTGCATTGTTGAGGTTTGTATGTACTGCTTTGTTGGCACTTAACATTACTGTACTGTTTGTACTCCACTGTACAGTTCTGTTTCAGCCATACCAGTTTGAACTCGGCTGTTCTTGCACCATTTAAGCAGATTTATAAATTGTGCACCATTATTTTTCCAGCACTTTTTTTGAAAGACCTTGTGTTGCTGCAGATGGAGTGAACAGTATGCTGCTTTATTACTTCTTGTGGAACAAAAAAGTGATGACAAGAAACGGAAGACCTCACCTATCATCCCTTCGGAGACTCCAACGAGTACGAATTCTGTCCACGTCGGATGAAATACTGCCTTGATGGCAAGGATCGCTGATATGCTTGTCAGTGCCATAGAAAATAATGCTCGATACTGGAAATTACAACAATAATAATGTGTCTCTGCACTCTCTGAAAATATATCTGCAGTCATGTTGGTTTGAAAACAGGCTTTGAGCAAAGAGTGTTTTTAGATACTGCCAGTTGGAAAAGCTCGCTCTGAAGGCGGCACCAACTTGTATCCGCTCCAAGGAGTGGCGCTGGCATAGTGTTGAGATTGAGCCATCGCTGCCGACTTCCCGCGAAAGCGCTGAATGTCTTTTTTTTTTTTTTTTCAGTTCGCTTGCTCAGATTACAGTGGCGGGAGCTAGAAGGGAAGGTTAGATTTCGGTAATTGCCAATTGTACTCAACATGTTACATGACAATTAAGCATGCTTGAGTGAATAAGCAGTTTAACATAGTAAACACGCCGACCTGCGCTGTGCCGGGCTGTTGAGAAGTGGCCTCTGAAGAAAACACTTGCGATCGGCGGCACATCTTCAAATTCCGAAAATTACCCTGCAGCTTTCAGGACCTGAACTGCTGCTATGCCATGAAAAGCCTTCCTGGTGACATTCAACACATACATTGCTGACTTACATTTCGAATCCGAGGACCTAATCACTTGCTACAAGCACACCGTAAGGGGAAACATGAAACTTTCATGTGGTAGTTGGGCACCTAAGCGCGGTGAGTTTCCTAGAATTTTCCCTAATATTCCTGCACACTTGTCTATACCAGCAGCATTAAAGCGCAAAAAGAAACCACCGAAATTTAGAGACACTGCAAATTTCAAAGTGTCGGCAAGTGGTGGCTATGTGTCTGGCGTTAGCATGGAGAACAGTGATGTTGTCGAAGCTACTGGCGTCTCTTCTGATACGGAGTTGTGTCCAGAGGTAGCAACTTGGTTCCCTGCATTACAAGACTGAACAATGTTCCAATCCTGGAATGCCGAGCTTATCCAGAAAGAAGTTTTTTTTTTCTAATTCGCTTTTTGTGTTGCGCTAAAAGCTTCAAAGCGAAGTCAGCCAGAGGGTAGCGCTACGAAACCGAGTGGCTGATTACTTGCCTGCTCCTTAAAATATTGAGCCCTGCTGCTGCTTATAGGTTGATGTCGAAGGTGAACATATTATACTGCCTTTATTGACATCGTCACGCCTTAAACAAATAAATTATCATGGGAATGCCTTGCGAATTTGGGTTCCTGGAGGTTTCGCTCAGCAGCATCCGTTGTTGTGCTGGAGGAAGGCTGGACATCTACTTAAAACTGGTAGAATCTTTTCAAAGCTGTGTTTTCATTTTCCGAATGCCGTTCTTCACTTTCTCTGCAAAGCTGTGGCCCTATTAACCGTCTTTATTAGTTCTTTCGGTAATCGATATTAAGTTTTGGTGAAGCTTCATTCGTTTTGTAGATTTCTCCTTTTTTCCTCTTCTACCAAGCTCGCCGATTCTTCCTTGTGTTCTTGCATGGCGGGCACAAGTCTTTCCGAAACAGCCTGAAAGTGCTTTTCTACACGTCCCGAATCTTTAAGGCTGATGTTGCAGTCAAAATCGAAGGGAATAAGCTGCTATGACAGCCCATGAATATCTTCATGTGATCAACATAACTGAGAAAAGTTGATACCACAATCTGCAAGCTCGTGAATTTCAGCTGGCTTCTCAAATCATGTCCGTTGTATGTGCACGAGGAAACAAGCTTCCCCCTATAACTAAGGACAAAGGTGAAATCTTTTGTTACCAGCATTGCCTTGTTTATTTCGACAATACCTTTGTTTTGAACAACTTTGAAAAAAAAAAAGAACTTCTTCCTGGATAAGCTCAACCTTCCTGAATTGGAACTTTCTTGAGTCTTGTATTGCAGGCAACCAAGTTGATACCTCTGGACATAACTATGGATCATAAAGGACACCAGTAGCTTCGTCAACACATCTGTACTCCATGATAACGTCAGACACATCACCACTAATTGCACACACACGGCCCCGGAAATTCATGGTTTCTTCTAGTTTTGGGGGTTCCATTTCACGCTTTAGTGCCGCTGATTTAGACAAGTGTGCAGCAATATTAAAAAAAATTCGAGGAACAGCAGTGGGCTTAAGTGCCAACCTACCACGTTGAATTTTGACAACGTTTCCGCCTTATGTGCTCGCAGCGAGGGATTAGGTTCTCGGATTAGAAATGTAGGTCTTGACTGTCGCCTGGAAGGCATCTCGCGGAATAACAGCTGTCCAGGCCTTGAGAACTGCAGGATTATTTGGAGTTTGAAGAAGTTCTGCCGATCGCAACTCGTTTCCTCGGAGGCAGAATTACTTCGACATCCCGACGCGCTACAGGTCAGTATGTTTATTATCCTACTGCTAATTCACTCAAGCATGCTTGATCGTCATGTCACATGTGAAATACAAAGTGCGAAAGAGCTTGTCCAAAGAAAAGTCATTTAAATACTGGCTGTATGTCATCTATTGCACTGCATTCTATTTTTTCTTAAATTATTCTTCCATCACTTTGGAAGCCCTTCTCCAAATCCCTCGGATAATTTCAGCTACAATCCAAGGAGTTTGTGTATGAAATGCACTTTCACATAATAAATACACCATTTATGTCAACTGTGCCTGCGCCAGCTGTGAGGCTTGCAAGCTCACTCATATAAAGCACAACAGGATTGTGGCACTAATTCACGCAAGACTACTTGTGTGGCCTGTCTATTTTTCCTTAGCAGTTCAGAAAAAAAAGCAGAGCCGTTTCTAAATAGAGTCTTACACACAATTTATACGATATGTAATTACAACAGACTCGCTCGCTTAAAATTTCTCACAACCTCAAGGTGCAGATGAACCAAATCTATTGCAGAGGTGCAGGCAGAATTGATTTCTAAGGGGGGGGCACCACCTTGATCTGAAGAGGGTGCCGGACAGACAAGGGCGGTCGAGTGTCACTTTTTGCTCTGTAAACAATAGCAAAAAGATTTTGATTTTGGGGGGGGGGGGGGGGGGTGAAACGGCACAGGCCTGGTATGCCACCTGCTGGCCACACCACTGAGCCATTGCCGGCAAAGAAATAATCATACATTTCTTAGGTACAGACGCAGCCTTTAGTTATAACTAAGTAGAAATCATTCGGCTCTCATCTAGCCGCTTTAGCGACAATCCGCATATTTGGAAATGAATTTCCCGATGTTTGGCATGCAGAGGTAGCAGACGACGCTCTTTCGCCAATCCCAAAGCGACAGCAGCGCTGTGGTTACGCGGGATACGGGAGGGGGCCGCTGCGACCGCGCAGGTTTACTCAACTGACCGTATCTAAAAACGTTCACAAAGACTTTGTGCAACACATTGAAAGAAATGCTTATGCATTTGTTTCAACTGAACGTGACGAGTTGAAACAAATGCATCCACCCCTCTTTAAGCATAACTGACTTGACATATTAGCGCTAGTGTTGTTCACTTCTTGGCTCATTGTAGTGCAATGTATATCAGACATTACAAAGTGATAAGAACAATCTTTCTCTAAAAAGCGTTTAAGGTTGGAATGCAACATGATTCAATTTCAACACTTCGTTCTTCCTTTCAGTGCTTGTCTTTACCTCTATCACCGATAACGGCAAACAAGCGAGACAAATTAACAGTATGTTTTGATGATGTTCCTGTGATGATAGTCACTACTACAAAGAAGAGTAATCTGGTTTTACTGGCAACCACTCACTACTAAAATGCGTGACAAGATCTGGCTCTGCGCCGTAATCAATGAATGCATTAACCACTGAAATACAGCAGCCACAATAAGATGAGCAGGCTTTCATAAAAAGAAAAAACAAAGCGGGAACAGTCAGTGTTAAAAATAGAAAAAAACAAGCACCTAAATCTAAGTACTACACCAACCTCGAGCAGTTTCACCTCTATGAAAATGCGGCCGGGATTTGATTCTGCGACATGCAGGTCGGCAGTCGAGCAATAGGCCAACACGGCGGGTCTTTGTTACTTACCATGCCTATTCCAAAATGTACAGAAAAAAAAAGGTAATTTAGGAATGTATCTCTAAAAAATGATCTGCCATTTGATGAGTGCCTGAAAGGAATATGTTTTGCTATGTAGATGACAACACCTATCACGATGAGTGAATCCACCCAAGGGCGACCTGCTCGGTCAATACTAATAGGATCTCGTTCAATTAAGTGGTACAAAGGTAACACTTCTTACCATAACGAGCAGAGAGTTGTGATACGCTCCGCAAACAAAGTACTCCGTGACGCCGTACAGAGAAGCCAACGCCATGCAGGCAATGTGTAACCCTATCTCGTACTCGTGCTCCAAGAGCACTCCAGAGAGGCCGAAACCATGCCCCAAATGCTGGCAAAGAAAAAAGAAAAAGAAACCAGAATGATAAACTTGAGCAATAGCCACAGCTTCCAACGCGATACCTACGATACAAGCCCCTGCACAGAACAGTGATCCTGCTCACAAGGACAAGTGCTTGGGCCAATCAGCTTAACGTTGTGAACACACATGCAGCGACCCGGACGGTATGGAGACTGGAGGTGATCAGAAACCAAAAAGTGGAATGCCAAATATCCCTTCACCGAATGCTTCTACTAAAAAACTTGTCTAAGCGTTAGCCTAATCTTAATTATTACATTCAGTTACAACCTAAGAAATGTGTATTTTTCCCACAGCTATTGCTATCCTTCTGACACAGAATTTGTATAGGCACTCCGTCCAATAGCAATTACTTATGAAGTGTGGAAAGTTGGGCAAGTTGCTAGAACATGACTGAATATACGAACAGTGCAATTAGGAAGCAAGAAACAAGGACAGGAAAAAGGGCTGGAGCGCAGCGCTATTTCCTGTCTTTGTTTCTTGCTTCCGTAGTTATGCTGTAACTACTATCTGATTGCGCTATTTGATTATTCAGTACTTACTTATTTCATGATGTCAAGCACCTCCCCAGTATTTCAGATAGTTTACTTTCCTATGCAAACACACAGTTTCATAGTTGGTTTGAGGTTAGAAACTTGAAAGTCCTTGTAAATCTTTACAGCAATTTTGACATTGCCACTCAGCACTACGTAGTGTTCTAGGTAGTAATGACAAACCCTTAACACTTAATATGCATCATATTTATATTACCCGAAAGAATGTACTTGCAGTACAAGCAAAAACCAGCTAACACAACTGCCTTTCACAGGTGAAGGGGCAGGCACATCGTTTGTAGCACCATTTTCAGCATGACACCACAAGGAAATACATATGGATGTATTTCTTTGCGGTTTCATGCTGAAAATGGACGGTTCTTGCAACTTTCCTTTTCATATAATACGAAAAGTAACGAGATATAGTCTACTTTATCGCAAAGCATGAAATGGAATGGTGCAGGCACAGGAATGAAAGCCCAGTTTTATGCATGCAAGGCAAAGGTGTCAACTAACCCACACAGAAGAGGACGATGACATCGAAAGCAAACGGGTCGTAGGGTTGCATCGTGACCTCATTAGCGTGAGTAGTAGTGGCATTGATGGGCACGGCCAGGACGTCTTTTGCCGAGTAGACGAGCAGCGGGATGCCCATGCCGAGCTGAATGAAGACGTTGACGACATTGCACAAAAGCAGCAGCAGCTCGTGCCAGGTGTACTTAAGGAACAGGATGCTCTGCAGTTGAGAGAAGTGTCGAAATTTCTAAAAACTCACACGACAGATAATCTCTCTCTCTTCAACAAACAAACACACACATACACACAGCCTTGCTAATCATGTGAAGGGAACCTGCCTCCCCAAGCTTACAGGTGCAACATCTTAACTGCTAAAACTGACATGGCAGTAGTGCAAACTCAAGCTTGTTGGTTAAGCTTTATGAAACAAACAGTGCACTTGTAAGACCAGGACACAGAAAGGGCTGCACGACAGTGCTTACTTACAACAATTGTTTGGAGACATTTTTTTCACACATATGTAAAGAATCAGCCTCTTCATGGAACGTGTCAAAAGAAGATAAACACTTCCCACCAACTTAGAAACCTCGATTGCAAGAAATGTAACTCTTTATTAGATAGCATGACAGTGTGAGAATGTATTGGTCACGTAACCTCTGAATGGGTTAATTTGCCCTCCACTAACAAAGAGCTACATTTCTTGCAAAGTGTTTATCTATTATCGGTGTGCACATCGAAGTGGCTCACTTTGCATATATGTGTGTGAAAAATTGACTCAAATAAATTATTGTAAAGCAGAGCTGTAGTGTGTTCCCTTTTGGTGTCCTGGTCATATAAGCGCACATCTTGTTTCATAATGCACGGTAGATGAGCCCGGAGTAACAATATACCTAGTAACAAGGGCTTAACCAATTCCTGTTCCAAGTTTCAAATGAGTATTCACAGAGCAAACAGGCTAGCATTATAACTAAAAGAACATGTTAACATAACTTTAACGTGAAAAGTCTGTTCAGAGAACACGTACATCGCTACTGCGTGATATGCCAATGCGCACCACTTCTGAAGCAAACAAGTTTTTAAGCAAATCGTACGCTAAACTGAAGAGCTGGACTGTTGCTTATCAATCAGGAACTGGATAAGTGTGTAGACGTGACTTCCCTAGCCCTCTTGTGATAAAGAGATTATCTTTCCGCGAGACAATGTTTCATCTCGCGGAGGAAGCAATTATGATACGATATGCACACGTAATTAAATCCTACTTAAGCCGTATTTCGACATAACTTACGATGGTTCGACATTGAAGTTAAGGAAAGTATAGGGGACGCTTTTAGATGTAACTGTAATGCAAATGTGAAGGAAAGAAAGTGGCAAAACGATAGCTTGTCACTTTTCGTCCACTTTTATTTCTTCGGACATACTTCTAATTGGCATCATTGTCTGTTAGTTCTCATTAATATTGTGTCTAACAAAAAAACGAGGCCTTAAATTTACACTTCATTCCATACGAAGAAGTGTGTTTACTTATTATGGATGCATCTCAGCTGCAAATCGTGCGGCGGTTTGTTTAACTGCTACTTCCTCGTCCCGTATGTAAACATATATCAGTGAATTGAGCATGAAAACTTGGAAAGTCGGTATCTACCAACTACAGTTTGAGCAATTAAGCAAGTAGACAGCAGGTTCACTTAAATTGCTCAAGATTACGAAACGTGCACCGGGATTTATTATGACAATCAGTCATTGCAGCAGTTACTCACAATAAGGAAAGGGCGTGCCCTTCCGCATTACGTTTATTATAATCACGCACTGCAAACACTAACAAAATATGCCCAACTACACGCTTATTCATCACACATGCGATGCACTGCACTTCAAAGAAAAAATGTCCAGCGACGATCGTTAGACTAGCTTTAAGTTCATTAATAATTGCATAGGTAATGTATGGAAGCTGTAGTTGCTAGAATTAACTTTACATTTTTCCTTCTTACCACGAACGAATGCGCATAGTAAAACAAAGAATCTAAAACGCACTGTCAGCGCTGGTTTGTTTAATAAACAACACAGAACTTATTCTGCTTGCAGTATTATTTCCATATACATGCTGTTTACTTAGCAGTGAGAAACAGGCAGCATAGAACGTACTAACACGACAGTAAGTTTCTCAAACACGTATTACAACTTTTGCGTAACGCATATAAAAGACCTTCAAAGCCCGCTCAAAGTTCCGGGCGAAAAATTCTCATTCGGCAGTTCATACGATCTCGAAAAGGTAGGAAGGCCTAAGACCCCAACAGCGCCGGCTTTAGGCCGCACGGAAAACTCATCGGAATAATCTCGGCGTATCGGTCCATCGGCGACACTCGAAAAAGTTTCATCTCGAGCGAATAGACGTTCACTTACGCCACGGTAGATTCTTGTGTATGAGCCGGAATTGTCGTAGGCTGGCAAGAAGTCCACTCGAGGCATTGCCGCCTCTTATCGCCATACACATAACTGTCATAAGAGAAGACGCACGCTGCTGCAATCTGCCAGCGGTAGCGGGAATCCAGCCAGCGGCGAGGAAAGCACGTGGTTTCGTGTTTTGCTTGTGTTTTCGCAAACACATTCCCCTCCACGGAGGAAGGAGATTCTTTTCTTTCTCTGTGTTCTCCTCTCTGCTTTTACTGACGTCTTTGTTGCTTGACGCTCTTCGCGAATCCACTAATGTTGGCTAAACAAACGAGCTGCATCTTGGGTGCGGTAACGACAAACTATAATTAAATAATCAGAGAATTACGCGTGCCTTGGTCCTATTACGGTAGGTAGCCGTGAGCTTCCTATGCCCCAAACACGGATTGGGACGCCGAATTAGCGTTAGTACACTGACAGCTCGTGTGTGAGCATTCTGTGCAGTGTAGGAGTGCAACCAGAAATTTTTTTCGGAGGCAAGGGGGGAGGCTCAACGATATTTTAAGTATGTTCGTGCATGCATTTGTTATGTGAAATTTCGAGGGATTGAAACGCCCGAATGGCGATGCGCCTAGTACAGTCCAACAGGTGGTGAACTATGTAGTTTTCATTAAAAAACAATGCTGTTATGAATTTATAATGCATAGTGCAATAAAGCAAGTCAAGCAAAAGATTTCCTCGTGAAGTCAGCAAAACACTTTGTGCAACCATGTACAACCACGGTTTACACATCACACTAATGCACATGCTTGTTATATGTATATGTTGTGCATTTGGTTCCCCCTCAATGAGAATACATTGTTCTTTCTTTATCATTTGCTGAAACAATAACAAAACTGGCAAGCCTGTACGGAACGTCCAGCATAGCTACAGTGATAGCTGGAAGAGCAACTTTTCTATAAAGCCTTTTAAAAACTCTATTTTGATAACTGCTACAAGCTAACTTGCTGGGCACCTATTATGCTATATATCATTTTTTTTTTCGTAGTAGGAAGGCATCCACCATGCCACTCTTGATCATTCTTCAGAAAAGTGTGGTACCCGCCACACGCTTGCATAGAATCATTTGTATTTCTTCAATACTATGGCTGACGACAATGAAGAATTATACGTATGTCTTTTGTAATGAGTTGAAACATTTGATGACCCTCTTTTACACAAGTCGCATTGTGTGATGCGTGTTTGTTCCTTTGCTCTTATAAAATGCTTTATTACACATATTATTAACGTAATTTTTTACCCAACGTGAAGCCTATCTAGGGTCAGTCTGCAAAGAACTTTCGCGCACCTGCGTGGCTCACTGGTAGAATACTGGGCTGGCATGCAGGGATCCCGAGTTGAAATTCCCTTTGGTACTTGGGTATTTTTTTTAGCTTTTGTTTTCTCACTTCAAACGACAGTGATTACAAACACTGGTGAACAACAACAGCACCAAAAATTACCCTTTTTTTTGTTATCTCATTACAGCTTTCACTGTAAAGTGGAATTGTCTTAATACCTTAACAAGTTAAATGCAATGCAGCTTGCAGGGAATAAAATATAAGCACAGTTTTCTTTATGTACAAAGTTTATACATGCTTCAGATACACAGACACACAGTCTCGAAGTCCACTGCACAGATACAATATTTCTTCAGACAAGTATTCGAAACTTAGTTTCCAGCTGTGCCACAACAGTGGTGCTTTCAAAGGAAGGCCAGGAGAAGTTCTGTTTTACGACACACTGTTCTGCATTCACAATTGCTTGTCATCTACATGTCATTCATAAGTTTATCTCGTACATTTCTCATTTAGGTAATAATGAAACGCAGAAGTGCTTTGCTTAGCCACATCCTGAACAAGGTCGAGTACATATCACGATTCACATGTTTCTGCAAGGAGTGCAGTGTTTTTTCTCACAAGAAGTGCAGCAAGGCCATTTTACAAAAACAATGCCACAGTCAAAAAGACAGGCCAGAAAATTGACTGGGCTGCATTTACCAATGAATCGTTCCACACCAAAAGAATGGCTATAGCACTGACCACATTCCAAACACATGCCCACAAGTTCTATCGATAAAAATCGTGCATTTTTAGCATTCCGTTGCATCTCTGAGACAACGAGCAACAATAGAAGTGTGCTTTCCAGTTTAATCACCAACAACTGAAGTCACCAAACTTTCCAGTCACTGCTTTCACTTTCTTCGCTGGTGCTTCAGCTTCCGCAGGTTCACTCACTGCCTTGGCAGTTTCAGCCGGATCGATGTACTTTTCCAACTCCTTTGTGGAACTCCTTGAGGACCCTCTTAGCTTTCAGATTTTTTTCCATTTGCTCGCTGCCGTCTTGCTTCTTCTTCGCTTCCTCCTCTTCTCTCTTCTTCTTCAACTCCTCATTGACTTCCTCGAACGGATCCACAAAAACCACAGCCTTAATAATCACAATGTCTTCGATGGGACGGTCCTTATTGTCCTGTCTCGACAGCCTCGATCACATTCAGTGCCTCCAGCCCGCCGACCAGTTTTCCAAACACGGTGTGCTTTGAGTCGAGATGCCGACACGACCGGTAGGTTACGAAGAACTGTGATTTGTTCATGTTAGGCCCTTCATTTGCCATGCTCAGCATGCCTCTGCCTTGGTGGACAAGATTTGGCTTGAACTCGTCCTTGAATGGCTTTCCCCACAAAGATTCCCCACCTTTGCCCGTTCCCGTGGGGTCCCCGCCCTGTATCATGAAGTGGCGTATGGACCGATGGAACTTCGTGTTGTCGTAGTAACCCTTCTTGCAGAGTCCCACGAAGTTCTCGCACGTTTTGGGCACCGCATCGCAGTACAGCTCGAAGTTGAGGTTCCGTGCGTCGTCTGGAGCTGGACGTAGCCCTTCTTCTTCACCATCGAGTAACGCACGACATCGTCGGCAAGAACGGCCGGCTCGTGGGCGGTCGCGACTTCCATGACGGTAGACGTGAAGGAAGCCGCCACGGCACCCGTCGAGTAGTGCGCGGCGTTGAACTTGTCGGCTTTCTTGACGACCTTCTCGGTCTTTTCAGCGGGAGGCTTGTACTCCTTGTCCAAGGTGTCCAGGATGGTGCGTGTCTCGGCGTTCATCTTTCTCAGGGTGTACTTGGGGTCCGACTTCATCCTCTCTTCTTCGGGATCGATTACCTTGAGGTTGTGCTTGAGGTGGTGAAACCGCGAGAGGTTGAACTTCTCCAGGTCACTAGGGTCCTGCAGCGTGATGATGTCCTGCCTTGTGAACGGTTCGTCCGTAAGCAGGTCCTTGAAGTTCTTCGCGCGAAGGTTCAACTGGTCGACGGCGTCATAGGAGAAGACGTTTCCGGTCGTCTTGATGGCTACGATGTGAGTGTTCTCGTTGAAGACCTTGTACAGGACGGGGCAGTGGTACTTGCCGTCGGCGTTCTTGGCGAAGTTCAGTCGTATCAGCTTTTTGGCGTCGATCGGCTTTCCGCTGGCGGGGTCGATGCCGTATTTCTTGATGAACGGGACGATGTTCATGATGTCGTAGATTATCCCTTCCGGGGTGCATAGCGGGTGCTCGAAGGGCTGTAGCGAAAGCGCACAGTGGTCGAACGGCAGTCGCTTGAATTCGGAGCCTTCAGCCTGTCGTGTCGCGTTGGGACGTCGGCCGCCGTAGATGGTCGACCACTCGGTGGTAGTGAGGTAAAGCTTGTCCTTCTGATGCTGTCGCTTACCCATCTCGTCGCTTTGGTTGTCTCACGCTTTACGATAACGCGTGGTGGGAAACGTCGTACACTCACACGTAAACTGAAATCGAGATTGGAAACAGCGCAAAGTTGTCGCGTCGAGATTCACTCATGCAAGCGGCCATGACATTGATGTCGCTTTGCCTGTTGCTGCCACTTTGGCTATGCGCGAACGAAAACGTTTGTTTCGGTTTGTTTGAAGTTGTCTTTCGCTAGCACCACGAAAATAAATAAACAAACAAACTACACTACACTAAGGGGTATAATGTAGCCATTAATTTGGTGCACTGTTGGGCGATGCATATGCAGTATATGCACGCAATCACCGAGCAGACGTCCGATTACAAGCGCTGGTGAACGTTGTGCCAGTTGTGCTAGCAACATTGAAATTAAGTTGGTGCCATTCAATAATGATTGCGAGTTATGACGAAACCAGCGAACTGGCACGAAACAACTGAGTGGGTAAGTGTTGCTTGCTTGCTTTATCACCGCATTCACGACAAATGGGAATACCTTAGACACGTCTTGGCCAAGTATCCTCCTTGGTCTTGACTGTGCTTTACTTTCCCATGTCTAGATTTACACAGAAAAATGCCAAAATGCATAGAAAAATTATGAATTGCCACTTGTATACCTCTTTCGCAGTTTGAACTGAAGTATCAAACCAATGGCTTGACAACCTTAGTATCTAAGTGCCACACATCAAGGCACAGCAGCATAGAATAGAATGGACGTTTTTGTTTTCTTCAGGCCACATTTCATATAGAGTTGGTGATAAACAGCACTTTGGTGACGCCATATCTATTCAACGAAAATCTCAAGACCATGTTAAAACTCCAGTGCTCTAATGACCTACAACATAGATTGGGATTCTACCTAACAGCTTCCCAGAAGCTTCTCTTTACATGCCTGGGATAATATTAGCAACGATGAGAAATGCATGAACACAAAACTTTATTCAAAATTCTTATCAAGTTTGATAGGTTTGCCTATAGTCCAGTTCTGCAAATTGCATTTACTGCAGCCATTTGTTCAGTGTGTCAACAAGTGTCGATGAGACAGCATCTTCCAGATGCTGCTTGTATTGCATAGCATGTTAACTATTCAAGTCTTAAGGTGAATTTTCACCACAAAGACAAGAATGGCGAAATGGAGAGTTGTTATGTTTGTTACAAGAATGATTCAGCATTAAAGGCAGCACAAGAACGCAGACAGAAAACACAAGCACTTTATTTTCAAAATCTTAATAAGGTGACCTTATTCCAGAATCTATAGGCAGATTCCCAACACATTTCCAGCCATCTCTTTGTATTGTGTGTTTTGCCAATTTCCCTCATCGCGCGGTCCACATGTCAGAACAGAACTAGTATGTGTCCAAAAGGGGCCGTGTACCTGCAGTTTCAGCACAACTCTACCCACAGTCCTAGCTTAGTCAGCAACTGCCATCACATCTGAATCAGCTGAAACCTGTACTAAACGCAAATCTGACCACATCTGCACAACGTATCAAATACAAATAAAACCAGCACAATATGTCCGTGTGAACAGTCTTTGTGCACAAGCTTCTTCATCAAAACTTCACAGAGAAAAAAAAAACAGCCTTCACAAACGCATTTGAAATTAATTATTGACATGCCATGACAATATGTCTTGGATAGAAAGAGTTTACGTAGAAGCTATGTCATTATACAATATTGTGGAAGAACCACCTCCCGTTTTTATTCTAGAAAATAAATTATTTATGGACAGGTAAGTTTCACGGAGTTGCATGTCAGTTCCGTGAGAAGTTGTCATCTCACAGTACTAAGAGAGTGAGCGAACAAAGAGGAGCACCCCTTAGCGAGCCAAGGATCTTGGGCCACAGGATCACTGCAGTCGTTGATAATCGCCCTTCTGTGTACACGTGGAAAATGCACACACTTGAAGTGCCGACAGCCCAGTGCATAGAGCGGAGACGTTACCAGCGATGTGTTCATTTTGGCGATCACCCCAGTCGTCATGTAGAGTGAATGAGGCCTTGGCAAGCTTGCAAGGGCCAAGGAGCAATGCATTATCGAGCGACTGTCGAGCGTCTGAAAACTATTTGAAAAAATATAGTTCTTGTGCGTTTTTGAGCGCTCTTTGAGAGACACTTTAAAAAACGGAGGCACCTAAGGACGACCACAGTCCACGTTGTCAGTTCTTCCCGGAGTCCTCTTTTAGCGTCACCGTCCTGTTAAACACAATCTAAGGAGAAAACAAAGGCATGGGTAAGCAAACAGTATGCATTTATTCAAACAAGCCGTGAAACTCCTAGCCTGCCGATAGTGTAACGATACTTTTGAACACTGATATTATGGTGCTTCAATATTTTGCAGTATTTGTCCTAGGGTTCTTAGAGGGCTTGCAACATTTGTTGAACAAAGAAAACCAGGGGTAACTCGGCAGTAAATCTGAGAAAAATGTTAATGTTAGGTTTAATGACCTCTGCTTACCTTGACACTCAAGACTAGACAGTTCTGGTAATATGCAAGCTAAGATAACCTACTGGTAATAACTAGACCAGCAGGTCACCGTGCTTAGCAGAAGTGTTAGGTTTCAAGAAGTAATTCTCTGCCTTTTCATTCAATGCAATATCTACTATGGACTGCAGGCTTTACTCGATAGTAGACACCAATAAAGCACAGAATACAGTTATGAACAATATAAAAGGAAACACCGAAATCGCCTTCAAGAGACCACAGAAGTTAAACGCAGTTTCCATACCCCAAAATATTTATAACACTAACAATTCAAGAGGAAAGATACATTTACAGCAAATAAATACGTCACATTTGTATCAACACATCACGAGTAATCGTCGTGTGTTCCTCTCGGTGCTTCCTCTACAAAGTGCTCACGACAGAGCGTGACACCTCAATGGAATCTCACCTTTTCTGGTGTAGTGTCCTGGTCGACACAGAAGTATCCAAGGCGCTCAAACTGGAACTTGTCCAAGACAGAACAACTAGCCAGTGACTTGTCGATTAGCGAGTCACTGCAGATTGTCATGGCATCCTGGAAGTAGCAAGCACAACATTAATCCTTCGAGGCTCGTTCTCAAATTGACTTCCGGAGCTCTACGTGCCGAAAACTATGATCTGATTATGGGACTGGCAACAGTCTTTTGATCACTGTCAGTGATGATAACCAGCGATCTTCATCGACAACACTGATGGTGGTTGGCACTGTCAGTCACGTTCACCAGTGACCATCACTAGCAACACTAACAACTGACCACTGTCACTGATGGGCCTCACGCTGATGCTGATGCCCATCAGTGACATTGATATCATATAATAATTGTAGGTGTTCAGAGTTCAAAAACCACAAATAAACATGAAAAATGACGTAGTGGAAGGCTCCGGAAATCTCGTCCACCTGGGATTCTTTATGGTGCACCTAAATCTAGGTACACAGGCCTCAAAAGTTTTCACCTCCATAAAAAATGCGGCCACTGTAGCAGGATTCGACTCCCGACCTGCAGGTCAGCCATCAGTGACAGTGATTGGCGTTAAATCAGTCCTTTAAGAATTGCGGTGATTAGCTACTGAGGCTATTAATGAAGATGCATATTATTCTTTGTCAATAAAGAAGCACTCGGTCAGAGACTCACTCGATTGACGTCGTTGAGAAAGCCACCGACTGCTTCACTTGTGTCTTCTGGGTTCTTGTGGAAGAACCTTAAAATGTCATAAAAAAACATTTTAAACACACAACTTGGCATAATCAACAAACTAACCAAGAATAACACCTAGCAACTTGTGCTAAAGCCAGATCTCGAACCTTCCACAATATATCAGTGAAAAAAACGTTTATGCAATTTTTCACATCCATCTTTGATGCTTGCAGTGAGGTCTGGCAACAGTAGGGAGATAATTCTCTAGTATTAAACACTCACTAGGCAATTCCTATGACAATACAGGAGTTGGAAGAATCTCTCTCCATTCACTTTGCAGAGGAGTTGCTTTTCAACCACAATACCGTCTTCATAGAATGACTACAGTAGACTCTCAGCAAATGTAAGTCTGTTAAATGAAACTGCTGCTTAAATGGAACAAGACCTTTGACACAAGATTGCTTTCGTTCTTGCATTCCGCACCCCTGGTCGTCTCTCAGTGAATTGAACATTCCGTTAAATGGAACATGTATTCCTGGTCCCTTCGAATTCCATTTAACAAAGTCTACTAAATCTACTATTTTATATGCATAACTACAACTTGCAGACATAAAATTACCTCACTGTACAAAAGGTAAATAGTTTACAACCACATTTTCAATATGCAAAGCACTAAGCTTTGGTCACGAGTGAAATGCACGTGCTGTAGCCACTGTTTACAAAGACTCGTAGCTCTGATAGCTCAGCGACAAACAGGTTCTGATCTAAATGCTTTTCATGAAATATACATGCCACAATTTGCAATGTAATAGCATGAAACATGATAAAGTGTGCTTAGTTCCCGGATCGGAATAGTGCAACAACGAAGCACAAAAAAAAAGACTTGACAACACGAGCACTGGCTGACAACTAATTGCTTTATTTAAACGAAACAAAGAAAAAAAAGCAAGGAAGTTAGAACAAAGCATGCACGTGCAACTTCTTCACGTGACAAAAGACTCCACCTGTAGCATCATTACGTCTTCTACTAGTATGCCAATCAAGTAACGCAATCAACGGTGCATTTACGCATGCATAACCATTGATTGTGTTACTTGATTGTGAGCTGACGTACTTGGAGAAGACATAACGATGCTAGAAGTGTAGTTTTGTCACGTGCATAGTTTGCACGCACACGTTTTGTCCCCCCTTTCTTCCGTTTTTTTTTTGTTTCGCTTAAATAAAGCAAGCAGTTCAGCGCTCGTGTTGTCAAGCTTTTATTTGTGCTTTGTGTTTGCACTGCTCCAATATGAATGCAAACCAACTAGCCTAACCCTGCCTTTTGATGTCTTTTCCGGATGCATACCAATATATCATTGTTTCACGCACAATACATGCTTTTTTTTTTTTCTCAAATGCGAGGTGTAAGAGAAGCTTTTGTAACCATCATAGCTGATATGTATAAAATGAAATAAAGGAATTTGCTTCATCTGCAGTTTTAACAAAGCAGTACTACAGCATTTAAAGGCATGAGGTCGAACAACAACAACAACAACAAAAAAAAAAACACTCACAGCCGGTCGTACAGCCGCACTTCACATTTGACGGGCTTCGAGACCCAGTGGATGAACGCACGGGGCTTCTCGATGTCTTCAGATTTTTGGCACGTAACTTCCAACTCCTTGAACGTTACCGGCAGCATCCTGCATGAGGGCCAACATGATGTAGAGAAGAGAGACATGGGAAGAAGAATCACGTGACAATTCAGAATGCATGTTATTATATATATATGTGTAAAGAAAACTCTAATACCAAAATAGGCGCTCATCACCTTCTATTCACAATCGTAAGCAAAACATTTATAAATTTCTAAACTGCAAAGAAGAAATATTTACTCGCAATATGTTTTACTTGTAAACATATGTTTGCATGTAAACTGCAAAGTTTGCAGTTGACAAGCAAACATTAGGAGTGTGTGAGTATTCGAAATTTCGAATACTTTTCTAATAGTTTTTGCTATTCTATTACTACTCCAAACTATTCGAACTTCCGAAGACGAGCCCTGTCAATGTTCGATTAAAAGTGGCCCCTTCAGACTTTTAATAAGCTTCACCTCATCACATTCTCGTATTGCGGCAAAGCTGCCTTTCAAGCTCCAAGAAAGTGTTGGTTGCAACACGGAGATCAGAGATGCAACAGAATTAGAGGCACAATGCTGTTTTGAACCAACAATTTGGGCAGTAAGTTCGGAAAATTGGACGTCAAAGATTCTTGGCAGGCAAAATTTCAGATGTTCTTAAGAGATGTGGAACTTAGGCCTTCAAATGAGTACATCCTTTCCTGCCGCATAAGTTGGGCTTCCACAGAAAGCTGAGGAAATAGCATCTGTGCCTCTCGCATGCAAATGTTGTCAGCAACACTTTGGTCGCCCCAAATCACATTCAGAACTACAATTCAGCCTATGAAACATTTTCATAGGCTGAAAAAATTCAGCCTATAAGACAACTATGAAAGACCTCCCCGCCAGCACTTCATCAACCCAGCAAAAAGAAATACTTTCGGGTTGTTATCTCATAAGAATATGCTTAGGAATCCTCTCCAGCATTTTTTCTGCATCTTTGCTTTGAAGTATTGGAAAAATATTCCAGAAATATTAGAAAAATATTCGATTCAATTCGCACTCACACTTTAATATTCGAACTTGTCTTGCACCTAAAGTTTTGCTATTTGCACAGCTCTAGTAAACATACATTCTTTCCTTCTGCTCTGGCAAACATATGAAGACTTTGCAGAATAGAGGCGGAAATGTGGCTTATTTGACTGCAATACGATTTCAGCCACCACAAGAATAGCACAATACACAATGCATACAGGTCGACACTTATTTCAAACTGTTCATGTTGCGATACCATTTTTTTTTTTCAGTGTCGTAGGCATGTCAGAATGTTTGATAACAGGAGATGTTGCACTGTTGAATTAAGCCAAGAGCAAGTTTTGAGCGTACCTTCTCGAGAATTTTTGATATCAATTAGCTCAAGATATCAATCTTGAGCTTTGCTTTCAAGAGTGAAGCATGATACCACAATTGGACCCCATTTGCGCTGCCTTCTCATTCACTAGCAAGGCTTCAATTCTTATTGGACACCTCAACCATGCCATGAACGTCTACGTGTTGTAGTTTACACGTATCTCGAAGGAGTACGGACACTAGCATGGGTCCGGCCTTAGCGAGCCGCAGGGCACGCGTTAACCGTGGCCATGGCGAGAACACAGTACTGCTCAAGGTCGCAACACTTTACCGTCTGTGGCAACACCAAACGCAGTACAGCCCGTTGCAAAGGTGCGACGGGAAAGCAAACGGGCTTTTTCACGCCACGGGCGTAAAAGTACTACACAGGGTGCCAGGAGCATGTCTTCGTGGTAAAGCTCATTCACGGAAACACCGGGACCAAGGCCCGGTTGCTCGAGCGAGGGCAAAGGCGCTCGCGTTGGCTTCGGAGGGAGACAAGTCGGCATAGCTTGGCCATGCACTAGGACACCATACCACCCTTCGGCCGAGCGTACGCAGAGGGGCAACAAAAGGTGAGCGTTCGCCTCGGGCGCGAGGCGCCGTCAGCGAAATCCGACGGGCTCCGAGCGACGGGAGTCGACGGACGGAAAAGATTGCATGGCTCACCGTCAGCTGCCCCAGAGAGTATCTCGCCCGCTTCCAACACACGCACGCAAAACCTCTTCGGAGACTCCGCGCGCGGCACCACAGTCAACATCTGCTACCGGGTGAGGGGGTTAAACGTCACTCCGCTCTCCCAGCGCAGCAGACAGCAAAGGAGGGCAGACATGTCGGGACATGAGAACGGCAGAAAAGGCGGCAAAGCCCATGCAAGGGCAGCGGGCTAGCCCTCAATTTCCACAGTGTAACATTTAAACTATCCCAAAACGCCTTCTGCAAGTGAAGTTGCAGAGTGCCCAATAAACGTTCTAAGGCAACACCCGCACTTCTGTAGCTGCATGCGTTGTTGATGCTGTTGCTGATGATATTGATTAATTATACCTGAACCACTTTGTAATGGCGGGGCCTTTAAACCACCCATTCGTTGTATAATTTATGCGATGTGAAGCCCCGTGCAATCTACCCTTCTACTGCGCAATACTGCATGAGTTAACCAAAGACCTTGCATCATATAACACCTGCATAGGTATCGCCCCTCCCAAACAGTCGAGTTTCAAGCAGTGGGGCGATTGCGATAAAACACCTACTTGCCACACAGAAGGCCTGAAACACTGCATCCATCTTCGATTACTATTCACTCACAAACAATGCCGCCAATGCCAACACCAGAATTTCTGTGAAAAAGCTTTTTAGTGGTACCGCGCTAAAGCACAAACAACTCAAACTAACGCAGTCTTCTCACTCCACTGACCTTGATGACTTTGCTGATTGAGATGACCAGCCCGGTGTGCCGAAGGCCGACTGACTGGTTGAGCGTGAGGCGGCGGAACGACTTGTCGGCAGTCTCCCGAAAGTCAGACACCTCGATGTAGACCACACTGGCTAAAGTAACAGTGTGTGAACCTCGCTCGGGTGAGGCCGGGAAGTCGGGCACCGTGACCGGCACTTCGACGTTCTGACCGTGTGGGAAATTTCGTGATGGTCACCTTCATTGGCTCCACCACGCACATTACCCTGCACAATAGTGCAACGGACATGACAAATCACGCACATTTTGTAAGCTATACTTCATGATTGAGGAGTGTAGCAGCTGATGTAAACTCTTTTATGTAACTGAGCGACATCGTAAATGCCAGTATGTTTACAACGAACTAAAACTCAACCTGGAATTAAGTTCCTAAAGTTTGGTTTATTCTTTACATGTGTTCAACGTTTCTGTGCTAACAGTTTGCAGCGATTGCAATGCTTGATTCTCATAGATTTCATGAGCTAATATGCAGTGTGCTGGGGTATTCTTAAAGAGACAAATACTTATAGAGAAGTAGCCTAGCAACTGACGGCCACTAGAAAAATATGTTCATATTCACAGAAAACTACTATGCTTCGATTTGATCTACGTTAACAATTTAATTAAAAAATAGTTTTTAATCTGACAACAAAGTAGATACTTTGCTAACACTGTTTGAACTTTTGGTGACAATAATGCTAAAATCTATGATTTTTCGTGCACACAAATTCTTGAAGGAGTTTGTTTTGCTATGTTTCGAAACAAAGGTAGCATATTATTCTGAATTTTGCTTCTGTTTCTATGAAACTAGGCTCATTGTTTGAAGAGTACTTCAACACTCATTATTTTAGTTCTTCAAAAAGTTTGCAGTAAGCACACACACTTGATCATTGACGGTTTAGCTTTGGTAGCACTTCCGAAGCATTACCGGAGTATCATAGGAGAATAAGCATGCTTAACAACTGTTTTGGAGCAATTTGACAGGCATTATAAAGCATATGTAGAATTCTACACTAGGGTTATAAGACATCTTAGAGTGAAACAAGACCACTTAATAGCCTAGGTACCACAACAATTTAGTACTGTTTTGCAACCTCGCACTGACCTGTATTCTTAAAGCAGCATTAATATCGCATAACACATGATACAACATTTATAATATCGTGCAGTGAACAAATATTTATAAAATTTACAGGAAATTTAGAAGTTAATCCACGTAGTCTAAAGCTACGACCCACCTAGGTGCAGGTCAAGGTTTAGAGAATCCCTGACGCAGGCCTCCAGCAGCTGAGGATCCACAGCCGACAGGGACCCTGTCAAACCGAGCTGTAAAGTAAAAAAAAAAAAAAAATTGCTGGAGACACAGAAGCAAGCAAGAACAATGGATGACATAAACGTGCCTTTCTGGATATCCATGGTTCACTTGGTCCTTATGAGGTACGTAAAACTGTTGCCTTAAATTATACCTTATTTTTTTTCTCATTACTCACACAGAGCATACATTAAATTCACAGTTAAAATTTGAGGTGTGCACTATATATGAAATTTGGTGCACATATTGGCTTCATGGCATTGTTCCAGAGTAATGCAAGAAAGACAGCTTCATAGCAATAGGCAGGAATTTCATTTTTTTTCCCCCCTTTTGCATGTCATCAGAAGTATGGGTTATATATACAGGAGTCGGTTATAAAACACAGTACATTTGATTTTATGCTTCAGCCTTCTAAACATCGACACTGCAGTACTGGTTGCATCATACACATCACATGCAGACAAGTGGCGCACCGTTTGTCACATTGGGCACGGCCCTTAAATAATGTGGTTATGCTAAGCCATGTCTTACCTTTGCACAGAAGTTATTGATAGCATCAGGGGGAAACCCGCGCCTCCTTAGTGCTGTCAGTGTATACAGCCGAGGGTCGTCCCAATCCCTGGAGAAGAATTATTGAAACAATATAAATGTGATCTGAAAGGCACAAAAAACAGTGTCAAGCATAGTTGAGCATTTGCTCGCAGTACATGCGCGACGACGGAAAGATTCCTCAATACCGGCATCTCATTATTGGGCAGCTACAGTAAACCTAAGAACTCGGAGGGACCAGGACAATCATGCTAACAGGAGTTTGGCTTATCAGAAGGACATGAGAAGCACATGGTCCGATTAAGCTACCGCGTTCTAGTGTTAGAGAGAAGCTCAAGCGTCCTCGAAGTTTTTTTTTATAAAAGTTCTGCAATGTCGACGACACGCACCTGACGATGCCCTGCTCGATGAGCTTGGCGATCTTGCGCTTGGAGACGACGGTGTAGTTGAGGTTGAGCCGTCCATACTCCCACTGCACGGGGCAGTAGACGTCAACGGCGTTGCAGAGCCAATAGTAGGAGGAGCGGCGCGACTGGAACTCTTTGGTGCACAGCGAGTGGGTGATGTGCTCGAGCGAGTCGCACAGGCAGTGGGTGAAGTCGTATGTCGGATAGATGCACCACTTGTCGCCCGTGCGCGGATGCGGCACGAAGCGCACCCGGTACGCCACGGGGTCTGTTTGCCTTCCTCCAGGGTCACCTTCATCCGCAGCGTAGCCTCGCCCTCATTGAACTTGCCCTTGCGCATGTCCTGTAAAACGGCAACAACGGAGGATTACATTGTAATCTGTACTTCAAATTCCAAGCACGACAGAACTTCAGTATTGCTTAATAGGTTACCAAATCTGTATTTAATGGGCCATAGTAAGAGGAATTGCATAAAATGGGCATACATGACAAGCGGCCAAGTAAAAACTCGCAACAGTCTATCATACTCGAGAAACAGGTTTATTTACTGGTTATATGCTCAATTGGAAAGGATTCGAATGCATTGAAATCCGTAGGTCAGAACAAGACTTGGTAAATATGAAAAAAAAGACAAAGAGGTTGGTAGATATCATTGAAATGAGGTTGACCGAAGATGATGCTGCTGTGTAGTGGACATCCAACATAAGAAATACAGTAAAACCCGGATATATCGAACTCTCAAAAAACGCCTGTCAGTTCGATATAGCACATAATTCAATATTAGCCTGCTAAAGAATTGGATGTCATAAATTCACATATAATTCATAAAAGCACTTCATTGATGAAGCTAGCTTAGTTGCGCTTGAAATAGTCCTCCACTTTCTTTCTGTTTTAACAAACTTCGCTGCCTCCGACAGCACGCATTTCTCAACATGGTCTGGAGAGTCGGAGCAGGTGAGTCCACAAACTTCCACATTTGCGCAGAAGTGCCGGCTACATGGAACAAAACACTTGCCTCGAACAACCGGAGATTCTGTTCGATGGTGCGATCCCGGTAAGGCGATGGTGGTGGGTTGAATCCCTTGAGCTCCTCCGCTGTCTGGTGACAGACGTAGGCCAGTCCGCGCTCTATCAATCGCACAGCCAGAACGTAGAGGTCATCGAAGTAGTCGGACGCATGGGTCACCTTGTATGGTTCATATCCTGCAAGCATTCTTCTTTTTTACCTCCCGATCGTCTTCAGACCAATTCAGCCGGAACAAGTCACAGTGAGTGAGTGTGCTTTTACATGAGTGAGTGAGTGTGCTTTTAGCAGCCTGTTTTTTAGTTCCTTGATCTCACTGCTCTTTTGAAAGCAAGAGAAAAGGATCAGTGCATTATGCAGACCCTCGCCTCTCCTTGGTCACTAATTCTTCTTTTTCCAGGAAGTTTAACACAATGGTCATGGATTCAAAGGAGTACAGTTAAAATTGATACAGTTAAGCTCAATCAAACAAAAGCCAATTCTGCAAACTTCCTCATTCAAAAGAATAATTTGAGTGTGGTCATCACTTTGTTTAATTGAGTTTCAACTGTATACGAAAGAAATGTCATGGTGCCATTGCAAAATTAAAAAGATATAAATTTTCAAAAAATAAATCATGCCATGAAGACATTCTCACAATGGATGTGGCTTCGTTAGTATAGGAAGGATTGATTGTAACTACCGCTATGACTGGATGTTGCTCACTGGTAGTACAGTCAACAAATATCCACGGCAGTCAGGCTGCTGGAAGTACACATCTAGACATTATCACAGCAGCCGCTCTCACCTAGCCACTGCACCATATCCTGGATGCCCACAAAGAAACGCTCCTCTTCCTTCTCGGGGTTTGTGTCGTCGTAGCGCAAGAAGCACACGCCACTCTGCGACTTGGCGTAACCAAAGTTCACATTGATGGCCTTGGCGTGCCCGATGTGCAGAATTCCGTTGGGCTCGGGAGGGAACCGCGTCCTAACCTGCATGAATCACACAGAAAACGATAGGGAGTTTTAAGCAACGGCGCGTACCGAGTGGCTTTTCGTGTATAAGAAAGCCTGAACTCTGCTGTAGACCTTTGGGATTATTTTCGTACCCTCCTTGTGTTGAAAACTAAAAGCATAAAAAAAAATCATCAGCATCACTTAGTCTAAAACAACTTTCTATCAAAACAACAAAACTTGGAGAGAGTGGCTATTCAAACCCTGCAAAAGTGGATATCCAGCGAAGATGTAAAACCCAGAAATGCAACTGCAGAAGGGGGTAATTGAAAATTGAAAAGTGTTATGTGGCCTATGAAGAAAAAAATTTGGCATTAGTGTCTGACAGTACCAAAAAACATGTGAACAAGTCGTGACATCACACATGACATTCAGACATTATAGAGAGCCAACAGCAATGATGTTAAGAAAAGTATAGAGGATGTTGTTAGAAGTCATTGTAATGTAAATGTGAAGAATGAAAAGTGGACAAAACCACACTGTAACTGAGTATTGACACCAATGGCTTTGCTGTGAGAAGCACAGGTTGGTGAACTCACTAATGAGTCGACTCACTCGGATTCGGATCAAGCCACGGTGCAAGAATACTTAGGTGAGCCAAATCCGGGACTATCCCCTGCCAGATAATGTTCTGCTTCGCAAGGACCTGAGAGATGGCGCTATAAACGTTGTCCCGGCTTCCCCACCCCCTTTCGGTGTAGGAAAGCCCCGTGACGTAGGAAAGTAGCGGCGCTCATTTCGCCACAACACCCTCGCCACGCAGTCTACCTCCTTCCATATCACCCCCTTTTTCGCGGCGCCGCTCTATGCATGATGCGTGGTTGATATCGCGCGATAACCCGGTTTTCTCAGATTTAGAAACTGTCACCCGCGTGCCGGATGTGCTTTGCCGAACTTTCCAGCAGCCTGCCACGGTCCTCAGTCCGACGAGCCATCTATCGGCATGCCGAAAACGAGAACATAATCAGTCCAACCCCGCCAAGCACTCACTCGGCGGCGTTCGCTCACTTAAAGTATTCTTGCACCGTGGATCAAGCCGTGGTCCAAGTCTGAGTGAAGCCAAAGAGAGGTATATTTCTTGAATGAGCCAGAGTGAGTTCCGCTTTTGCCGACCTATGGCCCAATTTATACTCATCCTTAACATTACTACCTTGACTGACGTTTATACTCGCACTCATGCACACCTATTCTGAACCAGTGTTGCTCATACACCAATTGCATATTTATTGATCAGAGGCGTGAATTACATAGGGGAGTGCCTTGAAGTCCCCCCTCCCTGAACTCTTCTACAGAATTTCTTGATAAATATGTATTGTGGGGCAATGTCTACCAAGAAAAATGGCCTAACTGATTTGCAAGCACTCATAACTCGTATTCGAAGGTACTTTATCAAACGGCACTAAGAAGAGCACTGATACGTGAGATATTGGTGTTAAAGGGCATTGACACCTTGGTCCAGAAAGCTAATGTTAGGCTAACGGACTCATGCGTCGAGTCTTTCGGACTCGCTCAGGCTTGGATCTAGCCATGAGTCAGAGAAAGTTTGGGTGAGTAATATTTTGGTGAGTTTGGATCCGAGTGAGTCCAAAGTGAAAGATGTATTTCGTGAGGCAGTTTCAGTGAGCCCCACAGGTTTTTCCAACCTATAATGAGAGGTAGTGAGAGCTGATGTAGGACATAACACACCTGGCCACCGGTCACCTTGAGGTGGTGCTTGAGATGCGCCATGGTGTTCGGGGTGACGACGTAGCCCTCGGTCTTCTGATTCTCGCCAGGTTTGTGGAAGTGCACTTTGGTCCGGAAGAGTTCCTCCATCGTATTGGCACCGGTGTCAGCAGACATCCCATCTGGCCATGTCGAAACCAACAGAACTGTTAAACCGCCACCTTGAAACCAAACTAGGCCCAGCAGTGCTTTGACACTGCCCTCTCTGGTTAAGCTAAGAATGGGACAAATAAATGGCAACAAAATGCATGCAAATGAAGTGGTAATGCCAATATGTATGTCGCTACCATGGGGGAATAGTCAAGTGTGTCGTCCAGTCGTTTCGTTTCACTCGTGCACGTTCAGTAGCCGTCAATACTTGGAAGCCAAAAGTGCTTGCTGAAATACACTTGTGAGAATAGTCTTGGCCCTATGCCCTCATTCTCGGAACGTTGTTACAGGGACACTAAAGAGATACAATAATTTCATTTAGATTAGCAAACGGCACTGTGAGAACTCTAATGCCATAAGTTTACCATGCTATAAGTTTCACTATCACTATCATAGCGAAGAAAATGAAGGTTGAAGTTTCATTTTTAAATTTCACGTCAAAATATCTGCTTGTGGCATCAAACATTTCAAAATGTATTTTTCGTCAATTTGCGACATTGCCTAGATATAAAATTTCCTGAAACTGGCTAACCTCCCTGTCCTTCCTCATTTATTCCTCCTTCCTGAAACTTCGTGTGCTATGTTTATGGCACCCACAATTGACAATGTACTTCCTTTTTATCGACTTGGTTATGTAGGGCCCCGTGGACTACTTCAAAATCTATGACATTACAGTGTTTGGTGTGGGAATCTCAAGGTGGCGTCTCCACCCGCATTTTCTTTTCGTGCGTTTTTCCGCATACCAAGTGTCGCCTCATGGTTAGAGTGGTGTCTTTGGGATTATTAAATGTACTTTACTAATACGTGCAAAATCATTTTTCTCTTTAGTCTCCGAAGACATTAACAAGCTGCAGCAGCATGTAACAAAAAAAAAAGATGGCATTGGCAGTTTGAAGAATTTTCGACCAGCTAACAAATAATATAACCAATATTGTAACCGGAACATTTCTTTGCTTTTATCGAAAAGAATTGGTTAGTTCACTCAACTGAATGTACTACTGTATTTACTCGTTCGTAATGTAAGGGCTGACTTTTCATCGCACCCAGGAAGAAAAAAATAAATAAAATTTCGATAATAGATTGTAATGTGAGGAGCCATACATTCGAGTAAGTAGAGTACCTCTACGCAAAAAAAATGGTCTACTAGTCTTTATAGCACTGTTACTGATCACAGGTCATAAACCGTCTGTTTCCTCTGACAGTAAATGTAGCTTTACTATTTACTACCTTATGCATTTATGTATCATGCATTGTATATATATCATGCATTTATGTATCATGCATGTATCAGTGCATTCTGAAGTCACACATGTTGCCACGAGCAGGTGCTCTGGGAAAAAGATAACAAAGTCAACCAAATGAGTACCATGCACATGTAAATTGGTTATATATGCTCATCACTGATTAAAATATTTGATTATGCAAATGTTTCTCTTTATACACTATGTCACCACTTCCGTGCAGGGCACCAAAGGCTGGTGTTAGCCAATAATTAAACATAGCAGACTTCTGCATCCCAGTCGACCAATGGTAGTGGCCATACGTTATGGGAAACGAGGATTTGCTTGCTACATGCAACGAATCTTTCCGTGAAGCTTCCATTCAGTTCACAATAGGTCGAAAGCATGGGGGTGAATGACAGTGTGTCCCTTCAAATTCTGTTTCATGGCTATAGATGATGCCACCCACAGCTTTCATTGCACTGCACAAAGTTCCTGCAAGTGGATACAGCGCTCCGTAAAAAAGAATGATTGTGAGAAGCCCCCTCTCACCCAAAATTGTCGAATGCCCTGGCTTCTGAGAATGACTGATACCTGACTTTGCTGCCCGCCCGCATGCAGCAAAAGTGATCATGGGCATGCACAATGTGATTGCAGTGGGTTGAGGAGAGAGAGAGAAAAAAAGGGAGAGCGAAACAGTGATGCAGAAAGCAGACCACACATTGCAAGGCAGCGGTGCATGATAAAGCAATCGGTTAGAGCACAAATCGGTTCAAGTGTCTTCCGTCTGTAGATGCTTCAGACCATTCGATGTAGATGCTTCAGACCTGTGGAGCTTCAGACCATTCGGTCATACAACGAAGCATGTCTACTTCGTAGGTGGTTTAAGAGGACTGCACAACAAAATGCCACACAGAGCTTTAGAAAAAGATAGTACAGGAGGGGGAGGGATCTTTGTCGTCCACCGTACGGAACACAACACGAACTTGTCAATAGACATTGGAAACCACAAGAACAAAAAATGAAAGAGGCGGCTGATCTCTCACCGCTATTCAACTGAACCTCGACCGACTGTGTATCCCGAGGAGTGCAGGCTTTCGGGCGCTCCTTGCCTCCCTGCAAAGTTAAGATGCGTTATACCAGTGTAAGACAATCACTTTTAATGTCAAACGACAGCGCCAAATGACCACAATCAATATTAACAGTAACAGTAATTTGCATTTGCTTGCGCTTTTAGTTGCGACTCCATCAGCGTCGTTAGCTTGCCAAGAGCTCCAGTGAAGCGCCTAAATTCTTATCTGTGGAGGAATAATGCTGTTTTATCGTTTTGCATCTATACTCAAATCTTTATATAACGAATTCAGTTATAACGAATTATCATTTATAACAAAGTGAAGAATAGCTTGTAATAGATACAGTATGGCAAATAATAATTATAATGCATTTCCTGATATAACAATGTATTTTCGTGGCAGAAGCGACTGTTATAACGAAGTTTGAGTGAAGTACAATTTGGATTTGTTTGATTTTGCAACACATTGCTATCACCTGAGGGCAATTTCTGCAAGAAGCAATGAAATACAGGGTGTTCCCAGATCAAATTAAGCGTTACGGATACAGACAAGGTCGAAATATTGGGACTTTTCCCCCATAAAAATACACTGTGCCAGAACCAAGGAGTCATTTTCAACTAACCGAATTCAAATTAACGACCTTTTACTGCATTAAATTAGGAATTTAGCGTAAGTACAGAAACAATCAAAACATACATGATGCCTCTCCTACACTTTTACAATTATAACCTAGTCCCGTGATAGCTGCAGCCAGATTATACTTACAAGCTTCTTAATCTTATCTGCCCAGCTAACTGTCTGCCTCCCCCTTGAAAGCTTGGCTTTTTTTGGAACCCAGTCAGCAACTCTCGATGACCAAGGGTTATCTTGTCCATGTGCTACATGCCCTGCCCATTTCTTCTCGATTTCATGGATCGCCATTTCAACAATCCTTGTGACTTATTTCTTCCCTCAGTGTCCCTTCTACACTCAGTGTCCCTTATCATTACATCTATACTCAAGCCTCACTAAAACGAAGTTGTATGAAACGAAAGTAAGTTTGTCACATCCAGAAATTCATTATAAAAGTATATTCTTAACACTATAGCTATAGCAGGACTATTTTTCGTTTACTTCATTATAACCAATATTTTGTCATATCCGGGTTCATTATATCAAGGTCTGAGAGTATCACTTTGCTTTCCAATGCTCACCGCACTATTCTCACTTTCAATCATCCGCGGTTTACACACCAAGGTGCCAGCAGCCATAGTTTTCTAAGTATACACTAGAAGGAACTCAGGCGCTAGTGTCTATGGTAGCTGCAATGCATGGCTATTCAGCGAGCATGGGAATGATGGGTAGTACACGGATTTGTCTAATCTTCGTAACTCTGGCTCCGTGTGTGTCCGTGTGTCTTGGAGCTGTTTTCTCAAGAAACAAAAACAGCAAATGTTCAGCGGTTGCGCTTCACCACCTTAACCTTTTAGGCTTATCATTTCAAATCCGGTCACGAAGTTCAAAATGGTTTGTTCTTTCCTTCAAAACAAAACTGCAACCAGCAATAAACGAAGCCACAAGTGCAATTCGCCACTCGTAAGTTTGAAGACTAGGCAAATCCATGTACTACCTATCGTTCCCATCGTCGCTGAATCATCTCAGCGCCAGAGTCCCTTTTAGTCAATTTTAGGAAACTCTACGCCAGCAGCAATGTAATGGTTTCCAAACACTGGGAGTGTATCCCTTACCTTGGTCTTAGGACGAGACGCCTTCTGGAGGTCGGCGTCCGACTTAGGGCCAAGCAGGTGCAGCACCTGCAAGTCCACCTCGTTCTTGATGTACTTGCCCTCTGCAAAGGGAAGCTTCGCACGAGCCTCCGCTGCGGAAACAAAAACACAAAGCAGAGAAACGTTGCGGGGGCAAACATTATCAGCATTAGAAATGCGTAATAAATGTAAGGCTATAAAAAAGAGAAGCAAAGCAACAGAAATATGGTGACGAAGGACAGGAAGACTAAAAATTTTATGAAAGCATACAACATGGAAAAGAGCCTGCAGAACTACACATATAACTTGGATGGATTACTGACCGAGTTGCAAGCAAACTGCCGAGTGAAGAAGCCTAAGTAGGACGTTTTAATGTACAATAAAGAATTTCATATGTTTTTTTTTCCAGAAAAACTTTAATTTTCAATCACAAGAAGGGGTGTCACAATATATTAGTAACAATAAAATTCTCTTTTAAATACTGAAACTAAAACGCCAACACTAATGCTTGCACGAAGCAATGCATAATAGGAAATGCCCGTGGGCAGCGCAGCCTCTAGGCTCGACCTCCTACATCAGGCAGAGCTCGCAAGAAACAAGCTGAGCATTTCAAAGGCCATGTTCGCAATTTGTGTAACTTGCTCAGTGTAACGTGTCAACCTCGCCTGCTATGATTCAGTTTAAAAAGCTGAAAGTAAAAAGAAAAAAATCCAAGTACCAGTGGTGTACATTCGGATAGATTACTTCAGCGATAAGCAAAGCCATAGCGAAGTTTTTTCCAGTTCACTTTCGAACCAAAGTAACATTATTTGGGTATCGAGACCACTGCTTCCTCATATCAAAGCTGGGATATCAAAGGCAATGATAAAACTACAAACATCCGACAATCACTTGCCGTGCCTCAAGTGCCCATGGGCTATGGCAGACAGCATATATGTACACTGAGCCGCCGATCTACTTGAACAAATGACAAATATAATGAAACATAGAACCTTCTTTTCAAAGGATGTTCCTAGTATTACATCTCTAGACGTGTTTGGTGTTAAACACTTAAGCTTTCCTATTGGGAGTTGAATGTGATAGCAATATCTGCATGCACGCACGGACACTGTCGCATGCACACACTGGCACACTATTGCCTTCCCAATCATTAGCCTGCCTTTGATTCTTGGGGGAGACCTAAAGAGTACTGCAGGAAAGCCAAAGTACAAACACTCTCCGGCTCCTATTTTTATTGCATCTATCCCGAATTTTCGCTCACAACCAAAGACTACGCCGACATCAGAAATTTTGTGAAACGAGCTCTTTAATGCTGTCACGTTGACATGTGTAAGTACACATGCATTTTTGTGTTCTGCTATCTTTGGTGCTTGGCTTTCGAGACAGAGAATCGATTCCAGATTGCCACAATCGGCAACTAAGTGTCGCAGCAATTGAGCATCTCGAACAGGTTTCTGCTCACCTAGAAGAATGCCGACATTGAACTGGTACCGGTCTTCCACGAGCTTCTCCCGGTGATTGTTGATGACGTCCTCGACGGCCTTCTCAATCTGGTCAGGCAAGATGACCACGCCGACGCCGCTGTGCGTCTCCAACGCCTTTGTGTCTAGCGGCGGTTCTGGGTGCGTGAGAAGGTAGTCCATGGCAGCTGCATGAAAAACAGTGATTGATTGATTGATTGATATGTGGGGTTTAACGTCCCAAAACCACTATATGATTATGAGAGACGCCGTAGTGGAGGGCTCCGGAAATTTCGACCACCTGGGGTTCTTTAACGTGCACCCAAATCTGAGCACACGGGCCTACAACATTTCCGCCTCCATCGGAAATGCAGCCGCCGCAGCCGGGATTCGATCCCGCGAACTGCGGGTCAGCAGCCGAGTACCTTAGCCACTAGACCACCGCGGCGGGGCTGAAAAACAGTGAAGATCAGCTATAAAAGCTGTGATGTCATCTCGTCTTGTAATGCATGAACATACAACATCAGTTCAAGAAAAAAATAAGAATGTGGGTAATACTGTTGGACTCTCTGGAAAACTGCTTTCCTGATACTCAGGACCCTACTGTGTATTGCACCAAGTGACCGATGTCACCTATGAAATAGCCCGTTGCAGTCTTCATTTCCCTCCACCTCACTGTCTACGGACATTGTTCATGTCTCCTGCCTTAAGCTCTACTGCTCCGCAACACCACAGAAAGCACAAAGACGGTGCTTGAGCAACCAGGTTGAGTTGTATGTTATAAGACTATTTCATGCTGAAGAAGCAAGAGAGACAGTATGGAAGACGGGATTTTGGGATGTGGGGGGCACTCTCTCTTGCCATTGTGGCTTACACTTGGGCGTCTTGTAAATATCTCGCAGCTATCACCTTGTTTTCATGTGTGCTGTCACGGAAAAATATGTGAGCATTACCCTTCAGGTAACGAACTTGTTTATATATTTACTTGTCATTGCAACAACAACAAAAAAAAAAGAGCACCTGATTGTTTTTTGTGGTCAACAGTTTATGCGAACACTATCTCAATAATTGTTTCTCTAATCTTCTGTACATCTGTAATGTTCACGATGTATCCTACATAATATAGATAGTGAAAGTAGCATGCTGTCACTACCGCAATCCTTAAATATTGCACAAATGATCTCTGAAAGATTCGGTGGTCAGTCATAACATTAACATATCACAAGACTGCATGTGGTGACTGCGATCAAGTTCACAGAAGTGAGTTCGAGACATTTCCCAGGACAAGCAAAGAACCACATGTGCGATGTTAAAAATTATAGTCATATGATGAATGAGGCTGCGCCATTTGCATTGGGCGGTGGGTTATATCGCCTGACCACTACGTAGAGTTAGCATTTCACTCCGTGAAATGCTAACTCTACGTAGTGGAAGCCTAAATATCACACCCGCGAATTGATTGTTGTTTACCAATAAGGTAACATCCTCACGGTTATTTCTAACTGCTTACAGTGCGTTTTGCCTTCGAAGAACGCCGTTGCCAAGCATTCTCGAAAAGAAAACCACAGGACTAATCGTAAATGGAAGGAGGCAGGGGGGGATTAATCACGTCAACAGCTGTCGGAATCGGCGATTACTCAGTCGGGCTCCAGGTACGTTGAACCACACTGCAGGAAGTATGCCACCTGTTTACCTGCACTCGTTGCATCGCGCGAACGTGCACGTAGTACATGGCAACGACAGCTCGTATATGAAGAAGGAATCCGTAAGCGACTTCGAAACATTTTTTCCGGACTAGGTAAGGAATCGCGAGTCACTGATCAAACGTATCCAAACTAAATCAAGAGTTACTAAACAGGACTAGCAAATTTAGACCCTCTTGAAGCACTAAAAGCATGTTGATCGGCTCAACTTAAAACACACACACACACACACACACACACACAAAAGTAACGTGCAAGTTGCGAAAAATAAAGAATAGATGCAAGAAAATGGAACGATTATAAACGAAACCACAAGACTGGTCTTTTTTTTTTTTACTTCGCGTGAGATTATTGAGCCGTTTTTTTTCAGCATCTAGTCATTGATTTGGAGGTAAATGAATCCATAACCCGACAAAAATCGTCACTCGGTTTTCTTTTCTTTTTTTTTTTTTTGCCTTTCTGTTTAGTTTGGTTCGTGCTGTGAAGAGTCGCTTTGGCAGTCGACTCGCCTTCTACCTTGGTAAGCAAAACCCCAAAAAAGACACGCAAAAAAAAAAAAATTGTCTGCTCTGCGAGATGCGACGAGCCAACGTAAGCGAGGTGATTGATATGTGCCGGCCACGCGCGCGACACCCATAAAACGAGCGCATCGCGCTCAAGACACGAGCATGCGAATACCTGACAGCTTGGCCTCGGAGTCGAGCTTTCCCTTGGCGACGTATTCGATGAGGAGCGACTCGTACTGTTTTATTTGTCCCTTCATTTTGGTCACGACGTGGTACAACAGGTTCCCCATTGCCTTCGTGATCGGCTTACTAGTCGTCTTCTCGGCCTGTCAAAATAAACAAGAAGCGCGTCACATCACCGCAAAGAGACCAACGCAAAACGCACAACACAGGTTGACAAGTTTCGGGTTTCACAGATCGGTGACGCAAGGCGCACGCGGTAGCGGCGTACGGAGCTTGCCGGCGAGCCGGCATCGACAGAAAGAGATCGCAAAGCGACAATATGTAATTTGGACTTACCGCCAAGATGGCGTCGAAAAGGCCTTGCGAAAGTGTCGCATTCTTCGCCGTCTCCTTGGCCTTTTGCTCGCTGAGCCCGATTTGTACGAACTTTAGCTCGCGCTCGCTCATCGCCATCGCCGCGCTCGCCGGAGCTGCCATGTTGGCCAGAACAAGAACCGGAAGTTACGGTCACCGTCTAGACGTACCGCAGCAGAGAAAGAAGAGGGAGAACCTTGGGAGAACGGGAAGTTACGTGTGGTGGCATACAGTTACTAAGTCGGTACTAAATGTGCATATTAACTCTATGTATGGAGGGTATGGTTCCTCGGGTGCGTTTAATATTGTTACGGTTGAAATACCGTAGCTATATAATGGTGCTTTTAACGCATGAAGGAAACTTCCTCGATGTTTTAAAGCGTGTTTTTTTTTTTAATTTGTCTATTGTTGTGCCTTTCCTCCACGAGGTGACGACAGTTGAGTACGCGCAATATCGCCCTTTTAAAACCGTTTCCAACGTCCGGGTTGTAGTTTAGCCGCGTTAGCACGGTTTAAGTTCGCTAATTTACAAGCTGGAGTAGGATTATATATCTGGGTCACGTACATAGATGGCCCAGATTGGTGTTGAGGCAACCTCTACGGAACTCGTGCTTCCACTCGTGTCGATAATTTGACAGTTCGGGACCGAAACTACTCTAAAGTCGGATCGAAGGCGGAGAGAAGCTACTTGCGAATGCTTCCGCAACTTTTGACCCTTAAGCGTCTCTCTCCAAATTCTGGTGACAAGTCGTTGGATACTTAAATCTTTACTTGCATAGAGGAACACTCCTTCTTCTCACCGAGCGCGGCAGTGGTCGATAAACATTATTACGCAAACTCGAGGTGCTCGCACAGCTGTTTTCTGTTTCTCAAGAAAAGAAGAAATATGGCGTCGTCGCGCCGTTGAAGTTTCTTCCGTTTCATTGGAGCGAGAGAACCCCGTGAAAGGCGACCGTTTCAACGACGCTTCTGGTCATCAACTCGGCCGCTCCGAGCAATGGGAGCCCTGTACCCGGGAGACTGCCTGGAGGACGACTTCGAGCCGTGGTTGGACGAGACGAGCCCCTGGATCGACCGGGTGTACCGGGCTCAGCGGCGACGACGCCTCCGGGACGGACGCCGACATCACGCACTACCTGACGGACGACGAACTGTACCGTACGCTGGCGTTCCCCGCCGACTACGACTGGTCGACCACGGTGATCTTCAAGTTCGACGTCGGCTGTCCCGAGATATGGCCCAAGCTGTGCAGGTTCATCGATCTCTGCCCCGAAGTCAAGTTCGGCGGCTGGGCCCGCACCAAGGTGTCCTACGTGCACCTGATCAAGACGTGGACTGTCGACGAGGCGGACTTTTTGATCGGTAAACGGGAGGTCGACATCGAAGGAATTCACTGCCGTATTCTTCCCGTCAGGGTTGTGCCGGTCTGAGGCGCGCTTGTGCGCGTGGCAGCGCGCTATCATACGCTCATAAGTACTTCTTTGTTCGGTTCCGTTTTTGTCTCGTTCTGTTTTGTGACCTGTGCGGGTGTTCATGCATGGGCGTCAGAGTGATTGTAATTAAAAACCTGCCATCGAGTAGTTTGTTGGCGAGTGTATTGAGATACGTCAACCACATGCTTGCGTACGCGCGTTCTGGGAGCTTGCGAAAACGCGCGACAGCTGGCTCACAGATGCGCAGGCGAGAAATCAATCAATTAGTCAATAGGTCACACGTCAACATTACACGTGCAGGCAGGACATTTACTGTAACACATGCTCAATAGACGACGTACTTGAGGATTTTTATATCGGAAGTTTTCGCACTGTTCCTCGTGGGGAGCTCATCTAATAATTTCAAACCAGATTAACGAGTGTTAGCTGTAAAACGCTTGGGTCTCGCATAAGTATCGCATATCTTTGCAAACTTTGCAAACGCGGAATTCCTTCAATACAAGAACAGCATTAGGCAAGCAACGCATAGGGACTTAAATAATGCAAATCAAGACTTTGTTTGCTTTGTGCTATTATTTTAAACAACTACAAGCCTGCCGCTTCACTCCAGCTTAGTTTTCAGTTAACAAGTTCGTTTGTACGTTGGTAATTTGCGGCAGTGATGGTGATTGACAGTGATCGGCTGATATGGCACTGTAATTTAATGTCGTTCCCATGTGCTGCCCGGACGCTTTCACGAAAGTGTTGACTAGAACACCATGCATCGAGCGGCACATGAGAGCATGCACCCTGAAACCCTACAACCGTTTTACCGTCTACCAATCAGACTGCAAAGTTCGAAATCCGGAATTGTGGCAAATGCACCATTTTCAATTAGTCAGTTCAAAGTGTTCAATTGTACTGCAAGTGTGTAGCTGCATAGACAATGCTAATGGTATTATTTTAACACGTAATCATACGTGCGTACAGAATAACCGCAAGCAGATATGCCGATCATTTCTAAGAGGCTTCTGGAAATAGATGCCCATCACCTGCTAATTCATGTGCAAACTAATTTCAATGGCAGTATGCTTACCTACTCGGGTAACTAGGATGAATTGCATTGTGCAATCCTTTTTCATAAAATCTCATCAAACAAAAAAGAAATGGGTGTACTCCTTATCTTGGTCGAGTGTCCATTAAGTATCTCCTTTATGCAGCAAAGGTCTTGGTGTGTCTGGCCACATGTAGCAATGTAATGTGTAGTATATAAGTACATGCCTCCAGTATCTCGTCTCCGTCGAAATTAAGCGTCAGCCGTTGGGATTTGAGCCCCCGACCTCAGAGTCGACAGTTCAGCGCCATAACTACTAGACCACCGTACTGGGTCTGTACAGCGATAATTTTACGATGATGGCTCCTTCATCTTCTATACAAGTGCATTCTGTTTAGTTAATAACTGCCAAATTAACCATTAAACAGTAATGCATAAACAAGCTTTGTGCCAAGTCAAGCTGATGGTTACTGTGTACAATGCCGCCCCCAGAACGTGAGACATTTATAACCCGGAGACGGCAATTTTTAAAGCAGTGGAGTTTAGCTGAGATAGAATTTTTAAATTAGGATTGGATGCTTTAGCGGCTTGTACAAAGGAGTCCCTTGCCGTCAATTTAACTGGAGCGCTTTCAACTCGTTTTGACCGCCGAGATTTGTTATAGTGAATGCTGCCAGAAAACTGAGTGAAAACATTTCTTTTTATTCGTTGTGAAAATTTTACAAATACAAGAGAGAAACTGCTGTTCATGGAGGAGCATGTCTTCTAATGTCAGTTTCATGAAACATTTGCACACTGTTTTTTTTTTATGAGCACAAATAATATATAAGTGAGATGCATGATCTTATGCACGTACAACATAAATAATGAACAGGCACACAAATTTCAAAGCTCCACAGACAACAGGATAATGTATGTTAATTGAAATCTGAGTATGCAATTTCATTGTCAGGATCACTCTTTAACCCTGCAAAAAAGTGCTCTTCGCAATGTTTGTTGCTTTGTTTTCTACAAATTACAGCATAGAAGATCTTCCATTTAATGCACGAATCCCTTTTTTTTTTTCTTTACTGGTCTGAAAGCATAACCTTGAAATTCCCGACCAGTCAATAGTCAAGCGTACAGCTTTGCTCTACCCCGCCGCGGTGGTCTAGTGGCTAAGGTCTAGTGGCTGCCGCGGTGGTCTAGTGGCTGCCGCGGTGGTCTAGTGGCTGCTGACCAGCAGGTCGCGGGATCGAATCCCAGCTGCGGCGGCTGCATTTTCGATGGAGGCGGAAATGTTGTAGGCCCGTCTGCTGAGATTTGGGTGCACGTTAAAGAACCCCAGGTGGTCGAAATTTTTCGAGCCCTCCACTACGGCGTCTCTCATATTCATATGGTGGTTTTGGGACGTTAAACCCCACATATCAATCATCATCAGCAGCTTTGCTCTGAGGTTTGTGGAAAAATATACCGATCATTGATGCACTGTCTTATGTCCACTCCAGGTTGAAGGCTTCTTCCAATGATTTTTGCATTAGCTGAATCCATTTTAAGCCTATAAATTTCTAATTTTGTCGCTCCACATCTCCCTCCGACGTCCTGTGCTGCGCATTTTGTCTCCAGTTGGTGACCCTTGAATATGACAGATACTGCGCTGTATCAGTTGTAACGAAGAATACAGAAAAAAACGCACTGAGTACAGTTCTTGGAGGGAGAGGAAGAAGATTAAACAGAATAAACAGTAGTTAAAAAAAGAAACTGTCAAGATTAAATAACTATCCAAAAATTTTCCAGGTCGGATTAATACATTGTCTGGTATGCTTGCACAATTGTACTAAAACTGCGTTTCGTTCATATATTAGCTTTTATTTCTTTCTTCTTCCTAATTTACAGAAATTTTCTTTATTATTATGTATTCTTCACGTTATCATCGAAATGTTACAATACACAGTCCTGGTCTATACCCCACGAGCGGGTATGTGGCATAGCATTGCGGATTCAATCAATCAATAGCGACCACACCTGCATAATGATTACAATTCATGATGTTACATCAGTCATCTTCGCGCCGTCACGTATTATGTGCGGCTCAATATCATTGTTACGACGTAATAACCAACCCCAGTCCAACACGCTTCTTCACAGGCATGCACGCAAGCACACGAATGCACCGAAAAAGATAGTCCACTTGAGCGTCTCATAGAAGACAGTTATGTCAGCACAATCTCGGAGAAGACGCTCTTGGGGGCGCCGATGCCGTGAGGCTGGTCGTCCGAGCGCATCTCGGCTACGAGGGTGCGCGCCTCGTTGCGCGACATGTCGCCGCGCAGCAGCAGCAGCGACTGCAGGTGCTCGCCCGAGATGTCGGGGTAGCGCTTGATGAGTCCCGACACCTCGAGACTGAGAAGGCTGGTGTCCTTCATCTTGAGCACCTCTGCGAGCAGCGGAAGCGCGTCCAGTGGCGAGGAACCGTGGGACGAGCTCATGCTACCGCCTCTGCGCGAACTCGCTGTGGGCAACAAGAAAAAAATGGAGTAGTATTCGTATACCTTTTTCAGTCACAGTGTACGCAACTACTATCAGTTGCAACTGCAGGGTCTAGGAACAGTGCAGCTCTCGGAACAAGCGGACAAAGTATGAGCCGCTGCACAAATATTATGTGGAGATCTATAACATTTTGCACAATGGAGCTCTCCAGCAAAGTTTAACATTACCTGAAATAACAGAATCAAATTCCAAATAATAATATATAACACACAAAGAACATAACTAGTACGTAATGCAAACGTGGCATTACCAACATTAGAATCGCCACAGGAGTCCATGGGAATAAACTGTGGTTTATGTGTGGCTGAGCAGTGTTGTTGGAGCGTCGGGCGAAATTCGCCAGGAAGTTCAATTTTTATACCCAAACCAGCATCAACAAATGTTCATCAGCTAGAGAATGTCAACTACCTGAAACATGTGAAAGACAATGTATGTCAAGAAAACGAGGAAATGCAATAGGATGGGGCATATATTTATTCCAAGGTTGCGGGTAACCATAAGTAAACTAGTTACACATAGAGTGCATGAATGAAAAGGGGAGGTATCTGCTTGCCCTGCTGTTGCATAAATTTTCACTATTTTGCCAGCATCAGTGGTGGTTGGCCCTTACCCCTGTGACCCATGCCAACAGTAACCAATGCAAGCACTAATCCTTGCCATGTCAGAACAAGTGTTGACAGCAACCTGCCACTAATGCACCGCTCTATCAACAACTTCACACGTGACGTTTCTGCTCAGTTCACAAGACTCTTTCACATGATAGCAACCGGAAGTTCCACTGCTCAACTCTTTAGTGTATAGCAACGCACATTTGTTGTAATGGCCGGAGCGAGTGACGAAAGCATGAGTTTTAGTAAGCTTACTTCATTAATGCTATAAGTGTCAATGACTGTACAATGAGCTTCTTGTGCTTCCTCACCTGCTGATGGCGGTGTGGCCTTCCTGAACAGCTCGGCAAGCTTGTCGCTCTCCCGGTTGATCTTCTCGGCTGCATCCTTACGCTCTTCGTAACCCTGAAACGTTAGTTGCGCCATCGTTAGCTTGCCCCCTTGTAATCAGGTACTACTAGTTGTACAACTTCGAACCCCCTCGCAAATAAAAAGAACAAGGCCAAAATTTTATTCCACAACTTACAACACAAAGTTACGACCAAAACTATGCAGATTTCCCAGAAAGAAGTTCCCTAACCGATGATACACTTGTACTGGTCCGGGATTCGCAATTCAGTGATTCGCCGTTTAGTGTCCTAGTGTTTGGAGTTTTTTTTATTAATTGTTTTTGAACCCACCTGCAAGATGAAGCTGAAACCTGCTCATTTTGCATCCTGAAACAGTGTGCGACACATGTGTGCACATTGCTTGAAGTTTGCATGCCTGTAAATAAAAGTAAAGCTGCATGCATTCAGACTGCAGTTGCATCTATCATAACTTCATAAGTGACGTATCAAGCAACAGCTGTGTCGTCCATTTGCATTAGATAAGTGACCACGCATGTTCACACTGACCTTTTCGGGATACGTTTTTTATGACATGCTCACCAATCACCGCTATGTAGGTGCATTTGCATCTTCTCTACAATTGCATCGAAGGCAAGATTCACGTGTTCAGCCACAGGCTTGGCTGGTTGAGCTAAAGGGGAGACATGACGAGCACTCCTATTAACACGCTTCGCGTCTGCCCTCTAATCCGGCAAACCAGCTGCACAGACAATGCTACTGCATTGATTTCAAGACGCGCATGAAGGCACGGAATCTGGGGAGGCTGGAAGCCCCACAAACAGGAAGTGAAAACCCAAACTGCTTTGCCTGATTGGTAGTACATAACAGTCGCACCAGTATTTGTTGTAAAAGCAGTGGGCCCTGGCAACATTTTTTACGTTACGCACTTCACGCTAAATACTGACGACGTCTGAACAAGCTCATTACGTTGCTTGTGTTTACATTTAAAATCTTTACCAAGGATCTGCATGTAGCGCACGTAGTCGGAACATGGATTAACGACCATCACAGTTTCACCAACAGGGCAAAGCAATCAATGCGATACCAACCAATTGGGATGTTAAACGAAGTAAGGCTAGCACAGCTAACTGTTTCGGATCTGACCTAGTCTAACTCTTCAAAACGCTGGTTAAAACGAAAGTGGCCGCTTTAGGGAGGCAAATTGTTTTCGGGCTGTTTGTCGTATCAACATGAAGTGGTGAGAACCACAACAAATACCAGCTGTCTAGTAATTTTTTTTGAAATAGTGTGTGCACCAGCACCCTCATGTTCAAAATGTGCAGCTGCTGCTTGAGAGAGTCAAGAGCGTGGGGTGCCACGTCTAGGTATGTGCTCTATGTATAAACTTTGTGTAACATGCACAGCTATAAATGAAGAAAATAAGAGTATATCTAAGGGCTCGCTCTCTTTGTTAGACACAATATTAAAGAGATCTAACAGACAATCATACCTAAGGAAAGTATAGGCAATGTTATTAGAAGTCATTGTAATTTAAATGTGAAGAAAGAAAAGTGGATGAAAAGATAACTTGCCCTGAGAAGGGACCGAACCTGCGAACTTTGAATAACGCGTCCAAAGCTCTACCAACTGAGCTACCATGGTGGCTATTCTCCGTCCACTTTTAGGGGTATGTATGTGCATTATTCATGGGAGTGTCGGTCGGCTTCACTAGTAGACATGACGGCGAGTGTGGAGCACTCTTTATCTGCCTGTTGGGAGTCACGTAATGCGTGAACTTATTATGAAGTGGCAGCTGGCCAATAATCTCTTGTATATACTATTTGAAGGCACCAAGTCTGCCAGAACAAGACCCTCGCTGTGAATAAAGGAAGTGTACATCTAAGGGCTCGCTCTCTTCGTTAGACACATTATTAAAAAGATCTAAAGACAAATCATGCCAAAAAAGGTTTGGGGATGTCATTTGAAGTAATTGTAATGTAAATGTGAAGAAAGAAAAGTGAATGAAAAGATAACTTTTCATTCCGAACCTGCAACCTTCGAATAATGCATCCGATGTTCTACCAACTGAGCTCTTTTACATTACAATTTACGTTACAATGACTTCTAATAGCATCCCCTATACTTTCCTTGGCATGATTGTCTGCTAAATCTCATTAATTATACACAGCTATGGAATTTAGCAGAAATTTTCACAATAATGTTTGCTGTTCACAGAATGCAGTTTTCCCCCAAGCCTCAGAGGTGGTTCAGATATTGATGCACACAACACTAATGCCAGTTGTGGAAACCAGAGCACCGGCATGACCCTGGTAGAGCAGAGTGAATGCGTCTGCGCATATGCTTCAGTTTCATTATTTTTGCAGCCATACGTACTGCGTGGAACAGCATGAATATGTAAGCACAACCCCTCTCCCCTGTCTTCTCATTTCTGCCGAGTCCCTAATGGCAGCTCAAGTACTACCAGAAACCCACCTTGAAGGTGATCTTGCGCTGCAAGATGGCCTGCACGTACGACCGAGCCAGTGCCCACTGCACCTTGACTGCCAGCGTCTCAAGGTTCTTAGGCAGCAGGCGGGCATAGTCACGGAAGTAGTCCTCGACCGTGGCTGAGACTGTGTCGATGATGTTCGATCCCGTGAGCAGCCACTTGCGTGTCATCACGTCCATCAGCTCCTTGTTGAGGTCCAGGAAGAGCTCGTCGCGCAGCGTGTCTAGGGTGCGCTCTTGTAGCCGCTCTAGACTCTGCTGCAGTCGGTGGTAGACCTGCAACGTGGACCTCCGTAACTAGGAATCTCTTAGTGCAATAATTAGTAATTGATAGAGCTTTACGTCCCGTAGCACACTATAATTATGAGAGACAACATAGTGGAAGGCTCTACAAATTTTGGCCTGACACGTGATTATGAATTATGGTTTATGAGATTAGTGGCTGCGGCTTTTTAACTGCTGACCCAAATGCCGTGGGATCGAACCACGGCTGCATCAGCAGTGTTTCGATGGAGGTGAAATGCTACATGTCCATGTACTTAGATTTCTCTGCGCGTTAAAAAAACCCCAGATGGATAAAATTTTCACAGCCCTCCACTATCACGTCCCTCATACTATTGCACTTTTGAAGGTTTTATTAGGAAATTTCGACTGCCTAACAATTTTTCATATGCGCCTAAATAATTATCTACATGTGCCTATAACATTTTTGCCTTTGTCAATAATGCAAGTGCTGGGATTGAACTGGTGACCTTTGGGTCAACAGCCGAGCACCATAGCCACTGTGGCAGCTAATTAGCAATCTCTTAATCCAAACTGACAGGTAATTCAAAGCGATTGATTGATATGTGGGGTTTAACATCCCAAAACCATCATATGATTATGAGAGATGGCGTATAGCTGAGGGCTCCCCAAATTTAGACTACCTGGGGTTCATCAATGTGCACCTAAATCTAAGCACACGGGCCTACAGCATTTTCGCCTTTATCGAAAATGCAGCCACCACAGCCGGGATTTCATCCCGTGACCTGTGGGTCAGCAGCCGAGTGCCTCAGTCACTAGACCACCGCGGCGGGGCGGGTAATTCAAACTGCATGGCTGGTCCCTGCAAAGCTGTACTCATTTTTCTTCATTTAGTATACCCCTCAGGTCCAGAGCAGAAGTGGTAAAACCACAAAAAAGAAGAGAAGAAAGGGATAAACAAACAGCAGAAGCTGTAAGTTAAACAGGACCTAAGTATACAACTTTAGTTATTTTATTGCAGAAAGGCTCAAAGTCCTTAATGACTACAATTCTTGTAGGAAGGTTATTTCATTCGCATGTGGTACGCAGCGAAAATGGGGACATCATCCTATACAATGCTTGGGTGTGCACACATAATGAAGTCTATTTCATTTTTAGTTTCGCCATTAGGACTATGCCACGTCCAGCTATGGTTAGCCTATTTTCTGTAGAAGGTATTCAAAATAGGTAAACTATTGCATTCTGTGAACTATACTAGTAAATCTCCTCTGGCATTTCAAGAGCCAATGCTATATTCCCCTACTGCATTGTCTCCGGCCCGTTTCTTGCCTACCTTGGCATTGAAGTCGCCCATCAGTATAGTATACTGTGTTTTTTACTTATTAATTGCTGACTGTACGTCTTCGTAGAAGCATTCAAATAAATGATCATCATGGCTCGATGTAGGCGCATAGGCCTGTACCACCTTCATCTTGTACCTTTGTTAAACTTAATTACGATACTTGCCACCTTCTCACTAATGCTATAGTATTCCTCTAGGTTGCCAGTGATATTCTCGTGTATAAGAAACCACACCCCTAGTTCTTTTTCATCAACTAATCCATGGTAGCATAGCATAGTTCTTCAGCACTGTATAAGCCTCATGGTCCTCCTCAATTTGCTGAGCCCTATTACATCCCATTTAACACCCTACAATTCCTCAAATAGCAGAGCTAGACTAGCCTCACTAGATAGACTAGAAGTCCGGAATCCAATGGTGGCCTGTCCGGACCCAGAGATTCTTAGCACCCTCCACTGCATCGCAGGTCTGACCACCGGCTTAGACAGTTGCTTCGCAGCCACTGGCAACTGATGGCCGAGGGTTAATTGGTGTGTTCATGTTGTAGATGGTGGCCAAGTACTGCACAAGGGAGGCCAATCCTCCTCAGGTGAGGGAGTTCATTACCGGCAGGTGGTCACTAGTGAGTCCGCACCCAAACCTTTTTTTCTTTTATTTTTTTTAATGATTCCTTCATGACTTATATTAAGTAAATATACTATTGGAAATGGTGCGGCATCAGTATTTGAACGAAATTTAGTCATAGTATGCTAGGCTTATGCGCCATCTCTAGGTAGGGGGTTCTGTTGCACTTTGTTAGCACTGTAGAATATACCACCTGACCGCCTATCAGTTCTCAACTTCACATTACTTGTAGCTCGCCTCGTCTTCTCTCAAATGTTTTGAAACTTATATTTGTTAAAAATAATAATAAATAAACGACGCGGCTTCAAACTTCCGACCCTGTGAGCTTAGCTCAGCTTAGTTCGCTAGATGATCCTTCTTTTCATGTGTTTATTCTGCCGTAGCCTCTTTCTGTCTTGCTCAATTTTGATATTCTTGGCTTTAAAATAACCCCAATGTCGAAGTTCTGCTGATTCAGAGGGGTAGCACACCTAGTTTGATGTTTCTTGTCAACTGACGAGTTGTGCGCTCCTTTTGCGAACTAATCGGCTACTTTTATGTGATTGTTATGTTGAGTGTATATGTCGTGGGCTACTCGAGTGCATGTAAAGTAAACGCGAAAAGTTTCTGATTGCTAAAGAATAGACTGGCACTGCCTTAAAAGCTTGTTGTACTTCGTTGGCGTTTTGGAGTAGCAATTAAAACTCTGGTAAACAGATATAGTAGTATACAATAGTCATCAGTCTGGAGTCAGATATATGTACTAGTTAATTACGTCTATGGCTAGCCTAATGATGTAGAGTAGTGGATGAAAAGGTAAGACAAAATTATTTCTAGCTCTAGAAAGCGGCCAAAGGCAACAAACTTCGTATGAAAGTAATGACGTGCTTGCATCACTCACCGCATAGCGGAAGCTTGAATGAATAGACCCTGAGAGCTGCCTTCGTATGCTGTCCAGCAAACGACTATTATAATTACACACATAAACAACAATAAGCCTACATGACACTTACAGCTTCAACTGTAACTAGGGGCAATCATCTTTGGGGAGCAACTGTAACAAGAGAGAACTGCGTTAGAGGATGACGGGAACAGGGAGACCATCGTCTCTGGGGGACAACTCTAAGACTATCGCCTTCATGGGACTAGGTGATTGAGAGACAATCTTGTAGGCAATCTTGTAGGCAATCGTAATCAGGGGACAACTAGTGTCGGCGGTGTGTGTCCTAAAATTCTTGTAGGAAGCTGGGTGTAGGGCTTCAGAGCGAAAGAAGGCGGTGTCACCCACCTGTGACACCTCGTTGTCTCCCTTGGCCAGGGCGCCCTGGCCACTGCAGCAATCACTGTAGGACTTCTCAAAGAGTTGCTGGAACTGGAGACAGTTGTTGGCCACAGCGATGACGTAGTGGGTGAAATACTCTCGCACGCTTCGATCCTCGAAGTGGCGGTCCCGGAACTCGGTCACTGCCTCCATGTATGAGGCCACGAACTTAGTCGTTTGCTCCAGGCTAATGGTCAGCACCTTGCGCACCAGGTCCGGACCGACCGTCTTGGCAACCTGGAGTTCAGCTATGAAACCTTTAACTCTTTGTGGTCTATTTTCAGGCCCTTCTTGACAACACAAAATGGCCACAGAGGTCTGGGATTGGGCGACACTTTCATGGTTGATTCGAACACTGATTCAAGTTATTTGATGATTGATGTCGCAATTTCTCGCTACACAATGCGCCGCTTCTAAAGGAGTAAGCAAACTCTGTTTACCTGCACTTCATTTTCTGTAATTTCAGACTAGAAAGGACAAAAAATGGGTAAAGGTTTTGGACCACAGAGGCTGTGGGAATTGAGGCTGGCCCGCTGCCTTTGCGCGGGCTTTCCCGCCTTTTCTGCCATTCTCATGTCCCGACATGTCTGCCCTCCTTTGCTGTCTGCCGCGCTGGGAAGGGCGGAGTGACGTTTAACTCCCTCACCCGGTAGCGGATGTTGACTGTGGCGCCGCGCGCGGGGACTCGCAAGAGGTTTTCGCGCGCTGCGTCGGGAGCGGCGAGTACAGTCCGGGACTTCAAACGGTGAGCCACGCATTCTTTTCCGTCCGTCGAGTCCCGTCGCTCGGGGCTCGTTGGACTTCGCTGACGGCGCCTCGCGCCCGATGCGAACGCTCACCTTTTGTTGCCCCGCTGCGTACTCACGGCCGAAGGGCGGTACGGTGTCCTAGTGCGTGGCCTCGCTACGCCGACCCGTCTCCCTTCGAAGCCAACGCGAGCGCCTTTGCCCTCGCTCGAGCAACCGGGCCTTTGCTCCGGTGTCTCCGTGGATCACCTTTACCGCGGAGACGTGCTCGTGGCACCCTGTGTAGTACTTTGTGCCCGTGGCGTGGACAAGCCTACTTGCTTTCCCGCCGCGCCTTTTTGCAACGGGCTGTACTGCGTTGATGTTGCCACAATAAAGTGTTGCGACTTGAGCAGTATCGTGTTTCCCGCCACGGCGACGGTTGACGCGTGCCCTGCGGCTCGCTAAAACCGGACCCACGCTGGTGGCCGTACTCCTTCGGGATACGTGTACACCACAAGGCATGACCCTTTACTTTTGTGAATTTGTGAAAGAACAGTCTCACGTTGCGATTCTTCTTTTTTTTTTTTTTTGTTGCTCTTTGAGATAAACATGAAAAATACTAAGCACAATGCATTGCCAACAACATCTTTATAATTATTTATGTTTAGGAGAAAGCTGGCTTCACCTTACAGTTTCTTCTTTGGTGATATTGAGGATGAAAATGGTACTATGGTATTACAGCCTCACCTGTGAATCATTAAAACAATTAGACTTGCAGACTACTTTAAGCTACGGGGGTGGAGCTTCTGCACATATACTCCTATGTAATGTAGTCCAGTGAGGCAAGCCTTTCGCACAACTGTGAAAAGGGATTGCTGCGTGGAATAGGTGTTATGTAGCATTCTATGTGTCTGCTTAGGCGACCAATTTAGGTAAGATTCATTGCAAGTTTCTTAGGCGAGAAGATAGAAGAACCAGAATGAGACGGACGCTCACCAGAATATGCAGAAGCCATCTATTATTTGAGGTATACATGAAAGGCATGACTTTATTACGCATACAAAAACGTGAAATGACAGTGTCAAATTTTAAACACAATTGTCTCACTGGTGTATGCCCTGTCCAGTCTCAAAAAGCTTCCTGCAAAAAATGAAAGTGTTTTGTTTTGTTTCTCATGCAGAAAACATGGACATGATTATGGGTCTACATTCATGAGTGGTAATGTTCATGCAATAAGGCTTTGTAGCCTTCGCTTCATTGCTAACAAAAGTACGTAGTCCACTAGTGTAGATGCATGCCGTAGTAAAGCATTTGCACATCTTCATATTGACTACCAGTTGCCAAAGTTAGCTTGTCTACACAAAAACGCCCCTGAAAAAAATTCCTGAGAACAGCCTCGGCTGCACGCACTTTCTCGGGTCACCTTTGGAAAAGAAATGTAGGCATTTTTGCCATAGAACATTGTCATCATCATTAACAACAACACCACCAACAACAACGCCTATGATAACAACAACGGCAACAATGATGACAACAGGAGGGTCTCGCTCACATTACCTGCAGATGCTGGTCGACCATCTGGAAGACGATCATGGGCGCCGAGGTGTGGTAGCAGCCGCGACTGTCCATGTCGGGCTCACACTCGCGGTGCCAGTCCTTGACATCCGACTGAAGCGCGTTGCGCAGCCAGTCCTGGTAGTTGGCCACCAGCGTGCCCAGGTACTTGTCGATGAGCTGCTGCACGTCCTGACGACCCAGCAGGGGCTCCAGCGAGTGGGTCTCTAGGGCCAGGTCCGGGTGGCCCATCAGCTCCTCGCTCGTGTACACCGTAAGCCAGCCCAGCACTGTGATGTACTCATTGCCCTCCAGCTCATTAGCAATGATGCTCTGCAGGTGGCGCGACAGGCAACTGTGGTACATGCGCACGTACCTGCCACAAGACAAACAGAACAAAGACATGTAACAAGTCATTCTGATATCTACTGTCGACTCATTCGTGCCAAGAACATTGCAAGACTAAAACCACCTCAGCATCAACATCGTCATCATCAACCTGACTACACTCACTGCAAGGCAATTGGCCTCTCCCATGTTTCACCAATAAACATGGTTCCTTGCTTGCTGCGGCAGCACGTCATAGCTGCACACTTCTTTATCATATCTGTTGAACTAACTTTCTGCCTCTCTTCATGCAGCTGCCTTGCATGAGCTATGAGCGAGTTCTGACAGTATTACCCACCACTCGTTCTGCTCCAGAGTCTAAAAAGAGCAGACGTACCTGTTGAAGATGTCATATTCAGGCGGGAAGCAGGGAGCACAGACAGTCTTGACAGTCCTCAGGTCATCCAGGACAATCTGCCGCGTCACCTCCAGGTGTCGCACCAGCCACATTTTGTTCTCGTGCCGGTCCTCAAACTGGTTGCCTTCGATGCGGTCCTCGACTGCACTCTCCAGCACCTGTTGAACACAGTGTTCCAGCTTAGATAATCACGAGAAGTCTGGAAAATTGGATCTATTTGAATTGTTAAATGGTAGGCCACTAATTATACCCCTTCAGTGCTGGATCATACAATTGTACACGTCAACTATGGAGGTGGGTCAGGCACTGGATGTTTCTTCAAGTGGCTTAAAACACAGGTTGCACATTTATACAATCTTCATTTAACTTTGTTGTTCTGCGTACTGCTGCAGAGAATCACTTTGCTGGAGACACTGCCACGTGTGACGTGCTGCATTCCAGGATCTGCCAAAAGATTTTTCTTTGCTCAAAAATGAATACAACCAGAAAATGAACTGGGCAAGCATTTTGAGCATAATATTTAATTATACAATGCAAAAGTTGAAACTGGCTGATAGTGAGAAAATTAGATACCCAATTACATGCTAATTAACATCAACCACAGAAGTTATCACAAAACAACGTATTGCCTCATTTTATTTATTGGGATGTACTTACTATTTAGGGCCTCGACATTTTGTAGTGTGAATTTGACCAACACCTCCTAGAAAAATACTATGCCTGGGACATCGCCAGTTTTGCCATTAGAGGACTGCTGCCACACGTTTTGAGCGGGCGCTGTGTGGTGGTGCTAGCGACTGTAACGCCGGAGCCGGTGAGAGCTACGATGTTGACAACATTGTGCCGATGGAGTGGCACAGCTGGCTGCTTTGTGCAGGCGGTTGCTTGCACATTTGTGAAGCGCTCTGGAGGAGCGCCAGTTCAACAAACGCCAGTAATTTCTTTGCAGTAAGTTCAGCTACAGCTTAAGAGCTTTTCGCGACAGGGGTTTTTTTTCAAGCAGGATTGTGGCAGCATTACAGTCGGTTAATTCTCAGTGCACACTACAGCGTTACCTGCTAGCACCTGCTCATCTCTCAAAATCGCCTCAAGTCACTGGACACGCAGATAGCTCTCCAGGTATCTGCAACTTTTTTTCCTGAGGCTCGACAAGCACTAGGGCATGCAGCAAAACTGAATTTTCAGGCAATATGAACGCACGGCTCGAAAACACATCACATTTTCCGTGAAAACATGGAGCTCCCCAAGAATGCGCGTTGTAGCTTTTCCTTCACACGTTTGTTTCTCTCGATGCCTGTTTATCTGCGCAGCATCGTTTTAAACTCGTTTACCATGTCACATCGCTAGCGTGTTCGAGATGCGTTTCGTCGGGCTCTAGATTGATCAACTCCTCCGTTGGTTTCAACGACACTGGCATTGTTTCCGTCAACACGCGTCACGTCGCCTGCTCGGTTACCAACGGTGCCGCTGCAGGTTGCAAGGACTCGCCGCGAGAGGCTCTAACAACTGTACCGGTAGGAAAGTGTAGGGCAGCGCTTTTGTGGCACAGTCTTTTTCTAGGAGGCATTGATTTGACACATTTTTAGACAGTTCATCATAAATTGTGCCTTAGGGGGTTATGCACTAAATTTTCAGCATCCTAGTCAACTGTAGCAATTAATAAAGCATTCATTCCCCTTCACATGTGGTGTAGCAAGCTATCCACTTAGAACCTGGAAATGATTTGAATCAGCTGTTACCAGGGTGATGTAAAAGGTCCCATCACTCTGCGTTCTTTTGCATAATGTGAAGGTTGTATATTTGCTTCCCACTGATGATATGCTTTTTTTTTCCCATTTACTTTCATTCACTAATTCCCGCTATGCTTCCCTTAGCCTTATGTAAATGACATAAAATCAGTGCAAATGAGGGCTCCTGTATCTCAATGAGTACTGTCTACAGAGATGCATAAACACAAAAGCATTATAAGCCTGCAACCTCTTGAAACTATATTGTGGTGACAACTTCACAGTGCCAAGGGGCTGGCACAGTCATGTTAATAAAAAAGAAATAAGTTCCATAACTTACCCACACCAGCCAATCTGTAAACACCAAATTAAAAAAAAAACACTTTCACACATGACAGAGGAAGAAACACTGTTTTGTTCATGTGTGCCCCGTGCACAGAAGAAATTTTTCTAGTTATATACACGCTTATTTTACAATAAAATTACAGTTAGACGCAGCACAGAACAAGCACCAAAGGTGGCACAGCAAAGACAAAGAAACTATGCAATGTTTTCAGATCCCCATGATAACTTTTTTAGGGGGCATCTCTGCATGCTTCAGCATCTTGTCTGAATATATTTTCCAAAGCGTTCATGCCTCTGAATAGGATACTGCAGCAGTGCACAAGGATCAAAGTGACAAGTCTTTCTCAAAGACTGCTTGACATCTCTCGAACCCACATACGCTTCGCTCAAGCTCTAAGATAAACACAGTGTGTTCGAAGTATTGCTGTCGTGTAACTACAATTGTCATGTATGTCATGTGCTTTCCTAGCACTTATAATCGTTACCTCGGCATTTCAAGGTCACGAACGACATACAAGTGCTCCCAAAATAATTCGGAGCGCTGGAGTGGTGGCCGCTCGTCGGCAGAGCACATGCGCGGAAATATACAGCCATGGTCTGCGCATCGTTACGTTCCTAGCAAGCAAGATTCGTTCCCTAGTTTATGTACATAGGCGTTGCCTTGCGTTAAAAGCATATCATTTGTCCCTGTTAGCGCTGCGACAACACATCCCATGCAGCCGCCCATCCGTTCTTTCTTGTCTCGCATGACTATGATGTGCGACCAACTGATTTTACTTCAGCTTGTGTGTTTCCGACTGCGCAATCTGCGATAACAGCGTGTTGCGAGCGGCGCGGAATCCTGATAATATCGACTGAATTCTTTTGCTGCACTGAAAATATTACAGTGGACTACACGAGAACACAAAAGTGCACACTTCTGTGTTCTCATGTCGTCCCCTGTTACATATTTAGCACAGCAAAAAAAAAACGGAGATCGACCGCTTAGGGCTGACATGTTTCCCGTGCTACTAAAAGAAAATGTGGCGAGGGTATATATCCTGTATAAAAAGGGTAGCGAAGGCAAGGAGGAAACTGTCTCGTCATTGAACGTGGGCTGGTGAGTGCCCTTTAAACAAAATTGTGCTCTAAAATAGACCGAAAATGACAAAAATAAGCGGTGAAGAAGGTGACAGAGCAGCGTGCGTAGGCAAGCGTCGGCGGGAAGAAGATGGCCACAGGGCTTTTATGCCTAGGCACTATTCTTTTTGAAGCCGTATAATTGTGCCAATAACATGTCTCTAGTGAAGAAAGTGTGAAGCACTCTCTCTATCAAATCAGATTTCTTGCGCGGCTATTAAGAGAGTTGGAAACACTGACTTTGCTTTGAACATTGATTAGGCAAACGAGCACTGTCGGACGCTGGCAAGTAAATACATAATGAACAAACCAAAAAGCACTGCGCTTGGCAATATGGTGGCCTATCTATGCAGTTTAGTACCATGCTTGCACCACGGACAAATATAGGCACGTTGGGTGACAACATCAATATCACGTGCATGCACCATCCACGCGAATCTCAGCTTGCATACAGCATGAAATTGACTCATAGAGTGACTCTATAAAGTCTTCTTTGTCGCCGAGGTGCTTGCACTCGCCAGCTATGGCAAACCACAGTTCGTCAGCACTGACGTCTCCTAGATTCCTGCGGGACATGGTTCGCTTCATTTGTCCCCACACGTTCTCAATAATGTTAAAGTCAGCGCCTTTTGGAGACCACGGAAGTGTGAGAACAGCACGTTCCTCAAGGAGATTCCGAACAGCTCTGGCGGTGTGCACTAGGCTGAGGTCTTGCTGCAACCAGAAGCACCCGTCTTTAAATGGCCCGTCCGAAGCATACGGAAGCAAATAACTGTCGAGGATTTCGCAGTAGGCCCCAGCTGTGAAAGATCGTGACAGCTGCACTAGCGGGCCGAGGCCGTCTTTGCTTACTGCTCTCTAGACGTTTACAACACACCGGCCACCGCTGTGGACCTCGGAAATATACACAGGGTCGTATATGCACAAAGAAAAGGAAAAAAAAGGTGTACCACTATGTAGGAAACGTCCGGAAGAAATATGGCCACACAATCAAAAGACCCACACCTGCACTTGTATGGCATCCAAACGTGGAGCTCCTGGTCCCACATTGAACAAGATGTGCTCTCATCTGAGAAGATTACCTCCTCCCAATCTTTCAATGTCCAATGCTCAAGCGCTCTAGCAAATTCAAGGTGCTGACGTTTTTGCCGCTCTGTCAGGTGTGGTTTTTGGGCGGTGATAAACTCGTGAAGTCCGGCTTCTTGCAGGTGCCTTTTTATTTTTTCTGCACTGACTTGAATTCGAAAGCGGTCTTAATTTGCTGGGCGCTCTGAAAGAGGTCCGCAATTGCTGCAGCAATGATGAGACGGTCGGACTCTTCCAATGTGCATCAACTGCGTCCTGGTCGAGCAGCATCTTTCAGCCGGCCATCTTCAGACCTGTAGGCCTGAATAATTCTGTTCACGGCACTCATAGACCTTTGTGTGAGGCGGCATATCTCGCGTTGTGAAACACCTTCTCAACTATCCTTCTCCGTTCGTGGATTGGCACTCTCTTCGACATGCTGCCTCAACAGGGAAAGGGCTGAATTTTGCCACAGTTCGATGGTTTTTATATCTTCACATGTTCTTATCAATTAGGCGTGCAAACTGCTCACGAATACGTCGGATGAAAGTGCACCTTTTGAAAGTGCACACAAAGTCACGCAAGGTAAATCTATAGTAACGTATCATGCAGGCGTATTTGAAGAAACAGACGTGCCTTCACCAAAAAGAAAAAAGAAAAAAAGCTATATAGGCCCTCATAGCGATTCTCAAAACGACTTTGACAACAAAAACGTTACGCGTCGTTGTCATTCTGTTCCAAATTGCTTCATTCTGGTTAGTTAGTTGTAACTATTGATTGACCATCATATCGTTGAATTTACAGACTTTCTGTTGCGGAGCCTCAAATTGATTGTAATTAGTGGAACTCATAATATTTCTCAATTTGGCCTGACCAGTATTAACACGCAGCTTGAATGTATGCTTCATTTATTGTATTATCGTGAGTGTATTTATTGCATTAGTGCCCATGTTGTGGTCTTTCTAATTACACTAATTACTTAAGATTAGCCTTTGGACTTTGGATTACACGAAGTTACTTCGTGCCTAATACGGCTTTACGTTCTTTACTGAATGGTTGAGGTGCAGTATGCCACTTTCCGATTTTTGCTACCGCAGGTGTTGTAGTAAATGAGCGGCGGGATGGTCACATTCAGCAACTAATGAACTAGTTACACTATTGACTTACAAAAGCACTGATGCCCATCAACGCGCATGCATGCGCACGTATGCTCCACGGTGTGCATACGCATGCACAGGGCATTGAGACTGCATCCGCGTCCAAAACACTCCAACGCGCCCAGCTATATTCTTCTGGAGCAAACCAACACGTATTTAGATGCTTTGGGGAACGAGGCGCGCTTGCTAGGGAAACCACGCACGGGCAGGCACTGGCACTACTTTTTCACCGGTGCGCTCTGCCAACGAGCGTGCACCGCTCCGGCGCCCTTAATTATTTTGGGAGCATCTGTACATGCTAGCAGCATGGCACAGCATTCTTGATAGAAAATGGCAAGAGCCGAGTTCTTAAGAAAATGCGGGCAAGCGAGATGACGTTTCTTGTTCAGTGGCAAAAATGATCCACAAATAGTAAATTTTTTTCTTCGGTATGTTAATGAAAGTGTCAATTCAAGAGCCTCACCTCAAAGCAGCGCTTCCTCCACTGCTTGGGTCTGCTCGGTGGCAGGAAACCGCCCGAGGACTTTTGACGCTCTAGCGCCGCCTGGTCGCGCCGCTCCTCGCGTTCGATGATGCGCAGCGCGGTCACCACTACCTGTGGATACATTGATGAGTGGCGCAGGTCAATAAATACTTGACTTTATGCACTACAGGACCACCCTGCAGTTCCACACAGGGTGGTTACAGAGGGCGGTCGCACAGGTCAGCGTTCAATTGGGAAAACTAACTATTTAGGTCGCAAATGGCCATAATCTGTTGTGGTTATCACGTGTTATGATATTGCCTTTTAGGTGACTCCCTCGTAAATGTGTCTTGTTAGCACGGCATGACCTGTGTTCACTATTGCATTTGCGGTGTATAAAGGCCGGGTGATTCTGAAATAATAAACACAGCTGTATCTAGTAGCACCGCGTGTCTTCTTCGAGACAGCTTCTAGTAACCACTAGGCCACCGCAGTGGCACTTGACAATGAGTTTTCCAAAACTTCTCCGCAAAACGCACACCTACCTGCGGTTCCTTGCGCACCGAGTTAAGCGTCCTCTTGAGCACCAGCCAGATCTGCTTGCCCAGGTCGTCGGACAGCTTCTCCACATCTGCGAAGTACTGCTTGAGCATGTTGCGGTCAGTCACGCTCTGGCTGGGCAGCTTGTGCAGCTCGTAGAGAAGATCATCGCGGGAGTTCTCGAGCTCCGACAGGGCCTGGTGGGCCTGGAGCAGCTTGTCGTTGGCAATTAGCTCCTGCGTCTTCTGCACGCTGCCCGGCACATTGAAGATGTGCTTCAAGTTCTCAATGGCTGCGCCATACTGAGAGTGCCGGATGCTCTCTTCTTTCACCTCCTGCATGACATAGAGTGAATGAATGTTCCAAAAGAAAGAGAGAAGGTGTATTCAAATCGAGCGTAACACTGTAGATTTTAGTGGCCACACAAAGCTTAGGAATGTGGGAAAAACCTTGCCCAGGTGATCAGCATGCAGTGCCAGATGCCTCTGCGACTACAGATTTTTTTTTTTTTCTTTCTTCAAATCGTGACGTTAGCCCAATCAATTTGATGGCTCAAGTTTTCTGCGTGCTCCCTCTCTGTGCATGCTTCACTCACTCAAGCTTTTTTCATGCTCTGGCAAAGCATGCAGAAAACTTGAGTGAGCAAAGCGTACACATAACCACTGCTAAAGAAAACAGTTGCTTGACCAAGGCAAAGGTGTCTTTAAACCATCTTTGCATATACATAAAAATTTTTCTTCTCCAATGTGGTGCTTAATTTGTAAAGCACCAGACACACAAGCGTACACGTGTCTTATAGGCTCACAGCTATGGAAAGTTGTCCCTTTGTATACTGTATTTTCTGTCGTTATTTCAACACTTAAATTAAGCAGATTAACTTGCTTCCAAAAGAACTTGTTGTTGGGCTAGTTGGTAGAGCATTTCGAACAGTTAATTCGAGCGCGAAAACTTGACACGATCACTAACACACGCACACACCCATGCATCAACCACACAGAGCGCACAACTGCGTCAAACACACACAGCGCACAACTTGCTTCCCCACACTTTTTCTGGTGTCCTCCCCCCTTTCCTTTGCAGCAGTGAGTAGCAAATATATAACCACTCGAAACCACCTTGTATACAGCTCATTACTCCTAGAATGTCACATCATGCGTCTTAATGCTAACCATGCTGAGCTTCAAATGTTTACTAAGCTTTGGGCTTTACACTGACATGGTTCCTCGTCCAAGCACTTTCTGTGGATTGCATCGCAATTTCGAAGCATTATCTAATTAAGACACGTGACACTTGGATCTCAGCTACTCATGTATGCGTGCATTTCAAAATGGATGGATGGATGGATGAAAAACTTTATTGGTGCCCTGAAGGATTCCACCCCCATTTTATAGGGGTTGGATCGTGGGCCGCTCCCAAGTAGAAACGGGGAGGCCTAGCCTCACCGCCGCATCGTGGGTTTTCTGGACAGCCTTGAGTTGTTGTATGAGGACCGGACTCATGAGCATTAAATGAAAGGCATTTTCGAAAAATTCTTGATTTTTTTCCTTGTAAAGTAGGACACCTCCACAGCATGTGGTTAAAATCACTGCGATTGTGACAGTCCGGACAAAGTTCTGATATGTCGGTGTAATGGCTTTAGGTTATGAGGCTAGGATATGTTCCTGTCTGAAGCATGCAGAGAGATATTGCCTGTGGCCTAGACAACTTTTCGTTAGGCAATGGAAAGGACCTATGACCTAATCGTTAGTGCTTTGTGATCTCGTTGAAGGTAGTCGAAATGTCCCTAAAATAAAGGTTGGGGGCCGATTCCTCTGTCTAAGAAGCACAAGTCCGGGTGTAATAAGTAAAACCTCGCACCTTGGAGTGGGCTAGCTCGTTGACATTGGGAAGGCCCATGACCTTTAAGCCAAGGTGAACAGGATACCAAATAATAGTGTGGTGGGTGAGTTCCTTGTGAGTGAGAGTTCTAAAAACTTCCTTGCACACGGAACCAGAAGTGAAGGCCCTAGCAGCAGATTTAAAGTCCGTATAAATATAAGTTATTTGTAGATCAAGGGGAGCTAGTGCAATGGCCATCTGCACTGCTTTGTAAGAAGTGGTTCGAACCGACGCTGAGAATAAAATCTGACCCTTAGCATCTACGGATACTACTGCAAAGTGAGCGGAAACGCCGCACTGGACGGCATCAACAAAGCATAAAACAGACGATTGGGTGTGAGCTTGAGCTAAAAGAGAGGAGATTCGAGTGACACGCCTGCCCACGTTGTACTAAAGATGCATATTTCCTGGAAGGGGACACACTTGGATGCGAGAGCGTATGTAATCATCAAGTGGCGTGTTTTGCACTTCGAGCATCAGGGGGGTTGTCTCCAGTGTCAACCACCATTTTTCTCCCCGCTGGTGTGATCAAAAGCCTGCCAACCTGTGCCATTTGTTGAGATTATACCAAATATTAAGGACACAACCTAGTGACCACTGGCCACTTGAGTGATTTAACTTTATGGCTCTTGGTTCGTTATTGGCAGTGTGCACTGGCAAAAAGAAATGTCTGTCATTGGACTGGAAAATCATTCAATCCCGTATGTTCTTTCAAAGCAGAGGTCCTGCAACTAAGATGTTTTATTGTCTGTCATGTGGGCTTTCACTTAATTGAAGCCTAATAATAATATGTTCACCAAAGAGGAAGGTTACAAAAAATGCAGGTCACCAGCTGTGCACGAAATTGTTTTAGGTGGCATTCTTCGGGCCATGGAGAAATGTCTATAGCTGTGTGAGCTCGAATGAATTGTAGTAAACTGATCCACTGGTCTTTCGTATACTACTGGCTATCAAGACAACTCTTGGCCACCTATTGTAAGACATCTTCAAGATTACAGGACGGCGACGTCTTCTAGCTGTCTCTAGCAGTTGTAGACGTCATAGCTCACTTTAGAATTTATGGTGCCCAGGAGCTGTAAGCGACTCTAACGACTAACCAAACTTCTGCGCTGACCTAGTTCTCGTGTAGGATCTGGTGTAGTGCTAAATCCTGCGCCTGAAGCAGCTCCACTACCGTAAAACCAGGCGGTGCAATTTTGCGTTTACTGAGGCGGTGGCGCTCTCTTACGCAAGGCGCGGGTATCAACCGGACGTTTCAGAAGCGCTTTTCGCGATTAGAGGCATTTTTTTATCAATTATTGGTTATTTCTACTAGTTTATTTTATTTTAGATTTCGTCAGTATATTTCGCATTCGTTTAGCGCGCTGTTAGCCTGGCGACATGGGATACTGCTGCAGTGGATGGACAAGCCAGGCTGCTAAAGTGCTCACTTTAGCAGCCCGCAGGGAAATAAACTTCGCTTCATTAAAACGGTTATTTAAATATACCTGCAGCCGTTCAGTGAGGCCTGGCAGCGACTTGAAGATTTCCTGGACGTCTTCGTTGAGGTTGTGCTGTATTTCAAGCAGGTCGCCCGGGATGGACTTCTGCAGATTTAGCGCCGTACGGAAGCCGTCGAGCTGTGACTGTAGGGCCGTTTTGAGCATAGCATCGATGGACGCCTTCTTGCGACTCACGCGCTTCTTGTACTGCTGAACTTTTTCCAGCTGTTCGGGCACCTGAAGCATCGTGACGATGTGCTTGATCGCCGTCGCCTTGGCCTCGGCCTCCAAGGCGTTCACGTCCATGGCTGATCGCGAACGGAGAGAGCGTCTGCTCGTGAAAAAGTACCGTTCTGTGAAATCCCCTTAAAATCGGCGTCAGCACGCGCTCATTACAAATTGCTCAGCAACCGCCGTCTGTGACCGGCTACTTTTCGTCACTTGATCGGCATAACGTTGCTTAAATGTGAGTACGTAGTTAATAAATAAGGGCAGCAGGAAGCGACGGTAAGCACAAGTCCAACGCCCCCAGCCAGCTTTGCTCCTGACGGACTGCTGGCGTGTTCTATAAACCGACTTTAGTACGGCACTTTGAGCGCACCAATCCATGTCACGCAAGGAGTCGGTAGGTGTTCTGTGGTTGCATCACGCATATAATGTAACTAAGTGTCACGGCTAGGTGGCGCTAGCCGCCGCCCGATTTAAAGGGTACAGCTATATTAATCTACCCATTCATCCGCGCGTACGAAGCTGCGTCCGAGGCTTAACGAAGCATCTTTCTTCTCTCTCCACGCCGTCCATCTTTGGCTTACACATCGCCAACTCAGGCCTCGCACGCTGCCTGCCAAGCCGCATCAAAGAATTACCTCGCCATGGCCCCACCGTGCTATGCAGACTTGGGCAAGCAGGCTCGCGACCTGTTCAACAAGAACTACCACTTTGGCGTCGTGAAGCTCGACTGCAAGTCGACCACCCAGACGGGCGTCGAGTTCAACGTGAGCGGCACCAGCCTCAATGACACCGGCAAGGTGAACGCCTCGCTCGAGACCAAGTACAAGGTTCCCGAGTACGGGCTCACGCTCAAGGAAAAATGGAACACCGACAACACGCTCTCGACCGAGATCTGCAGCGAGGAGAAGCTCGCGCGCGGCCTCAAAGTCGCCTTCCACGCCAACTTCGCACCCCAGACTGGCAAGAAGTCGGGAGCCCTGAAGGCGGCCTACAAGTTCGACAACGTGCACCTGAACGGCGACGTCGACCTGGGACCTCCGGGTCCACTCGTGCACGGTGCGGCCGTGCTCCACTACCAGGGATGGCTCGCCGGCGGGCAGGTCTCGTTCGACACGACCAAGAACCGGCTGAGCAAGACAAACTTCGCCGTGGGTTTCCAGGCCGGCGACTTCGTACTGCACACGAACGTCAACGACGGCCAGGAGTTTGCCGGGTCCGTGTTTCAGCGGGTGAACCCGCAGTTGCAGACGGGAGTCCAGCTGGCCTGGACCGCTGGCACGAACGCGACCCGATTCGGCCTGGGTTGCGTCTACGACCTCGACATGGAGACCTCGGTTCGCGCGAAGGTGAACAACTCTGGTCAGATCGGGCTCGGGTTCACGCACCGCCTGAGACCGGGCATCAGCCTGACCCTCTCCACCATGCTGGACGGCAAGAACTTCAACCAGGGAGGACACAAGCTCGGACTCGGGCTCGACCTATCGGCGTGATCGCCCAAGTTGGCCGACCTCTGATCGCCGGTGCAACCATCTCAGCTGCTTAGGCCCAACAAGCGCACCCACGGCTCTACCGAAAACCCCTTTACTTTTTTTTTTAGTCACGGGAGAGTGAAAAAAGTCTTTGACCACGCATCGGGACTACCAAATAGCAAAACCTGTTTGCATTTTGAGGACAGTTTTTATGTTCTTTCACAGTATTTCTTTATAGAGCTCGTCTCTTGGCGAGCGCTCCTGAATGTGTGCAGTATCTTGTTCCATTGGGCACTATTTAAACATGTAACTCCCTGTACTGTTGCTTTTTTTTTTTTTGTTCCGGTGTCCTGCGAGTGAAGTCTAGTTGAGTGACTGAAGAAGATATAGGTGTTATCACTGTTCTTTTTTATTACTTTAATTTTGTCGCATCTCCTAGGAGAAGCACTGAAAGGAGAAAAAAAAAAGGCTAATAAAAACATGTTGGCTGAGCTCAACAACAAAACTGTGTGCAGTTCTTGTGAAAAACTACTTTGCTTGCTGCTGAAAAATGCACTTGGATTAGTTGTGCAATATAATTTTACCACAAGCAGCTGATGAAGCAAGTCGCAAAGCATTTGAGGGGTTAAACCGGGTCAGAACTTGGCCATGTCAACCACTTATGTGCAGTAGAAGACTGGTTGGTTCTTCCATCTTTAGTGCAACCCTCCACTACGGCGTATCTCGTAATCGTATGTTGGTTTTGGGATGTTAAGCCGGACATGTCAATCAAATCGTCCATCCTTGGTGCACTGGGAACAAGAAGAACCATGAAAAAAGTAAAAACAGTGCATTGTGCTAGTGCAGTGATGCATCTTTCTGTCTTGTTCCAAGTGCTGTAATTGCATCCAAAAAATAAATTTCAAATACGCTGCCCTTTTAACCTGCAGTGCTTACCTAATCATATGACCCAGATATTAGAGATTCTAGCGTGAGACTACAATTTCACCAAAATGACTTACTGGATAAGTACCAATATGAGTGCATATGGTCTCCCTGGCGATACTAAGAAAGTTTTGGTAATGTGCAAAACTAGCCTCAGTAGCTAGAATTGATTTGAGAGCCTTGTTCACGACATTCTTGATGGAACCATTCCAGATTCCAAGGACTTGTTAATCGTCGTGTCAGGTGTGACGATGTAAGGCTGCAGGAACCCTATCACACTTGAACCATAACCATCATCTGGGTTCTGGGAAATGTGAGCTACAAATGTAAAGAATTCATGAACTGAGTACTGTTAGCATGGGCAAACTGCATTCTTAAGTTAAAGAATAACAAGTAGCATAAGTCCTTAAGAACCTCATCACTCATAGCTGTCAGGCAAGCACACTTTGTTCTTGCATCATCCAAGTCCTTGAGCTGTCTTCTAGACATCATGTGGCAAATTGCTTGCTGGACAGCAGTTGAAGACACTCCCAATACAGTGAGGGCTTTACTCTTATACAGATAATTGGAGACATCCCTCTGTGATTTTCTTCTTTTGCAGCCTGCACACGCTTGCTTAACTAACGTAGTACAGCCTATGTGAATGCTTAATGTATTCAATTTATTGGAACGATTTATAGTCACTGAGCATTGGTAGTGCATTCTACACGTGCTATGCTTTTGTACAGTTGAGAGTGTTGGGGGTTGTAGTAACACGGATGAAACTTGTTTTTCACTGCCTCGGTGTACTAGCCATAAAGAAGTAGGACTATAGGAGCAAGTTTGACTGAAGCAATGTGTTGAAGTGGATACATTTCATGGCAACATGCTTCAACAAATTTTTAGTTCACGCTGGTTTCATTTTAACTTCAACTTTAACTTACATCATTGTGTTACTCAAGGAACAAAACGGCACTCTCAGATGGCTAAATATAGAAGCATAAGCATAGTCCCTCAAAAGGTTTTGTAGAAGGCTGGCATGCCATCCCATTGTTGAGCCCTCTTTGGTTCACAGCTGATACTGGAACTTGTTATTTGGAGTTAAGTGTATGTACTAGTTTTGAAGATCATATGGGTAGGTACTTAATTATGAAATTGTTTAGTCTGCAGAGAAATCGGAGGAGATAGACAAGTTAATCATAGAATGAAGGTAGCAGGACAATTTTTTTTTTTGAGAGTCTCCTTGGCCAATTTTTCCAATTTCTTGTAGCTCAACATGAAGTTCATAACAGTGTTAAGCATTGGTGAGCCTGTGAACTATGTTAGCTGTTTTGTCAGTTCTTAGGGAAGAGCTTGCCGTCAGTAGAAACGAAGTAACAGAAAACGGGTGTGGTGCTTTTTCGCATTCGTTGTGCCAAGTAGCTTTGCAGTTTGATGCCGGTTCAATGTGACAAACTATACGACTAAAGCTTGTGGAAGCAGGGATGCATCAAATAGCAAAATATTTGTATGCCTTGTTGCTTCAAGAAAGCGAAAATCTGTACTTCGTTTTTGTTGTGCGCTACAGCGGTCGCAGTCGCTACTGGTGCGCCCCAGTTAGTGATTTACTGGTGGCCCCACCTGCTCTTTGGCAACGTTACCTTAATGTTAATAAAGTTCTGTCTTCGTTCTGGTGATGAGCTGGTCATAGATGCACGCCCCCGTCCCGACAACAACCTCTACTTGTGCAAGCATACCATTCGGCTTGTTCGTGGCACAACTCGTTTTTGCTGAAGAAAAGCCTCATATTCTGCAACAATAATTTTAGTTAGCACAGCATGGAATTACTTGGTGATCCCTACCTTCATTACATATGTGACACAAAGTTATATTGGGTCCCAAATATGAGCAGTAATAATTTTTACGGGGTTGATAGCTATATGAATAAAATTTAGTGTACAGTAGGCTCTTGTTAAACAGAATATGAAGGGACCATAAAATAGTGTGCTGTTTAACAGGAGCTTCATTTCAGTGATGTACTCCACTTAGATGAGGCCCATTTACCGAGAGATCAGTGCAGAATTTAATAAGAAACCAATCATATTAGAGGCAGCTGCACTGTACAGGCACAAGTTCTGCATAAGAGATTTCCGTTTACCTGTAGTCTTTCTACAACACTTAGCCATCCACATGGTTAATATAAGCAAATCATTCCATATGTCATGACCAGCTCAGTTTCCTCCTCTCGCACCGTATTTGACAGGTTGTTCCAGAGAGTTCTGGGAGTGTTACTTAGGCTGCTTACATTAATAAGCTTACTTATCAATGGCAATCAGGCATCCCTGTCACCAGCAGAGCCAGCTTATGCGACTTCATTCTTGTGCCCAAGCAATACATGTCATTTTCGATTGTGATCACACCTGCTTGGGATAGATTTTCTTGATCCCGACAGGCTTCCTCCTGCAGCTTTTCTAAGGAAAACCAAATAAGATAGCGAAATTCAATCCTGGTTGTTATATCGCACCAATTTAACCATGACTGAGCCTGAGACGAATGTGGCCCCGGAGGTTTGTTGCTGGCCTAAGAAACTTCCGAGTACGGCATAAAACCAATGCCTCCTCTAGCGAGACGCCTGAGACGTTGCTCGCTATCTCGATTGTAACAGTGTTGTCTTGAGTTGTCGTCGTTTGCCGAGAGATGGCGCCACGTCCTCCCTTTTTGTTTTTTATGGGGCGAAGGTGGTATGGCGTCGGGGAACCTGCAGTATGCACATGCGCACGTGTGCAGCAAATAGCCACCACACGGATCACTAGCTACTGCCCTCATCAAAAAAGAGGAAGGTGGGAAAGAGAAAGGCAGCAGGATTTTGACTCGCACGGCATGCATCTTTATATAGTAGGCAAACTAACGATGCAGCTGATTTGTGCAATTAACCTTATCTGAAATATCAGCTACACTGACTTCTTTCTCCTGCTCTCTCTTAACATAGCATACATCATTCAATTTATAACTCATCATGCTGTTCTACAGGCATTTCTTGAAGTTTCTTCATTATCTTTAACGTTGCCTTGCTTCCAAGGTTTTGTTATGATGAATTTCAGAGGCAGAATAGGAGTGGCCGATGACCACTGAAACGGGGCATTCCACTTTCTGGCGGAAGGCAACCGAAAGAAATCTTCTAATTACAAAGGTGCTCCCGCAAGGGGAAATGGCAGAAAGCGCTAGCATACATCCGCTTCCAGAAGTGCTCCACATTTCTTGCATTTTGCGCTGTTTTCTTCTTCGCAGGTTCACACCGAGAGAACAGACGTGCTTGGGCAGCACATTCTCTTGGTCACATGTAGGCTTGCGGGAATATTCGAATGCTTTAAATATTCGAACAAATATCACGGTATTCAAATTCGCTTAGACTCGTACTTAAATTATTTAAAATTGCGAAGTATTCAAAATGATAAAAAATACATATTAGTCCGCATGTGACACCATTAAAAGATGATTTCACTGCAGTAGAGGAGTGCTAAGCCTAGAAAACACCTATAAAAAGTAAATCCGCCCTGCCGTGCAGCCCTACTTCCATGGTTAGATGAACATATGACCCTAACACCCATTAATCATTTCTTAAATTAAAATCTTGTTATACCAGCCCATATGATCTAAAGTATAGTACATTTATAAAATGTATCATATTTTACAGATCATTATAGCATTCTATTGAAAGTCAAATTCTGCTTACTATTTAAAGTTGTTTACATTTCTTCAAACCAAAATGAGTGGCATTTGTTTCAATTTTCGAAAAATATTGCGCAGGTTAGGGCCACTCACCACGTTTGACAACTTTGAGCTGACAAGCGCAATGCGTAGACGAGGCGTACATGATCATGTCTGCCAAAACTTGCAATGCTACGCGCCGCGGAAATGGGACAAATTTCAAGATGAATGCTGCTCCCCTTCCCTTCTGCCGGCGCGCGCCTAGAGAATGAGGGCATGACGTGTACGTATGAATGGTCCTACGTACACGGCAATGCAGTGACGTTGGTCCTCTACGTAGACGACTCTGTTCTGACGTTGCAAACAGTGGCACGTGACATGGCAAAAATGATTTAACATGGCATGCGTAGTTTATGTAATTTGTTGCTTGAAGAGATTAATAAAGCTCTAGATAAATAATGAGACACAATAAGAGAATTGTGATCGTCTTTTTTTTTTCATTTTTCTCCCGTGAATTGCAACGAGATGCGGGGCTAATGTGTCGGCGTTACGCATGCGTTCGTGTCCTCGCGGTCAGCGCATCGAGCAGACGACCGCCATAAAACGCTTCTACGCGTTCGCGCACTCATTGTGCTCATCTATTCTACCGCGTCTAAGCCAGTGTTTCTAAACCATCCCGCAGAAACAGGCAGAAGGCCGCTGGTCAACAAAGCAACGTCGCTCATGTGCTCGGGGGTTGGACTTGTTTGGGCACGTCATGCGCATGTGACCTTTTGGTCGGATGCCTGAGAGGAAGGGGAAGAGATTTGGCTTGCGAAGGCTACGCGAAGGAGCGGCAAGGGTTTCGAGCTCGCCTCCTCTCATCCTCCTTTCGTGCCCCTTCGAAAAACCCGTTTTCTCCGCTCGTAATGAACT